AATCAGGAGTTTGATCAACGTTTTTCAATGAAATTACTATTAAGATAACTTTAGTTAAAACATTAGAAGTAATGATGGATGGTGGCTAACAGTGGAATTCAATATGCGTGTTTCGTTCTACTTGAGATTTGTCAGCTTGGTGTATCTGAATGCCAGATTTAGTGTTAACTACGGGATTCGAACTAAGTACTGTTCGCTTGAAACGCCATCACATTATCCACTTAGCTACAGATAACTACTAGCGTGTGCAAGGCGGTGAGGAATTCATTATAGACACTTTAGACCTGAATTTATGCCATTTCTGTTAATTGTAAGCAGACAGCAGTGTTTGAGAAGTTGTCGAAAGGCAAGGACTAATTTTCCATTTTGTCCAACTTGAGGACTGTTAATCAGGATTTATTTCTGTCGATATTAGTCAATAGTGAAGTATAAAATAGTGTTCATTTGTTTAATCGGTGTACTACGAAGCGGATACAACATTTCACTTTAAACTATACTGTATCCAAGTTAATTTTTTGAATAATATCTAAAAAATTAATTTTCTAAACATTTAAAGTAAGTTTTGTGTTAATTGTATTCAGTTAAGTAAGATTCCCAAAACTTTCATTGTGTAGTCAAGTTGACCTTTTAAGGGGAAGTAGAGAAATGTATTCATTCAACATAATAATGATCACATATATTTTTCGTACTGTGATGTTTGTCAATATTAAAATCCGTAGATCATAAAGTCTAGTCTTTTAACCGTCTAATCAACAGAGTACAAACAAGTGGATTTTTCGAACAAAAGGGAACAAGAACATAAGTGAGAACAGTCAAATGTATTTGAATACAAAATTATAGAACCTCTTAGTAAAATATGAGATCCATACAAGAAATAATTCATTTTCAAAATATCAATCAATTTTCTAAAACTTGACCGTTTCTTTTTACAATGTCAATCAGTTGTCTCAGACTTCACTGTTCCTTCATTTCTACAGCAATCATTCTCCGTTCTCATTTTCTTTTCTTTGATCTTCTTAACCGCCTGCTACCAGGCATTTCCCTTTCGATTGATGATATATACTACTTCTATCTGTCGACATCAGTAGCACACACCAAGAAGAAAACATTAAAATTAATTTTTGCTCATTCTACATCAAATTTTCTGGAAAATTTTATAGAGTGAATAGTTCTTTCTGTTCGATTATTTATTTTACATATCCATTTATTTCTATGTCGTTCAGTTAACTCAATGAATACTGTGTTCCCATTCATTTCTGGATTAATTAACAAAACAAAATTTCAGTGTCATTAAATGAATCATGTACAAATCATAAAATAATTATCAGTTTTAAATTATATTAACGCGAAGAAAAGAATTTTTTTCGATTCCTTGTCATTATTCAATATTGGATGACTGAGGACAAGTAACTGGAGTCATTCGATCAATGTGTCAGGTTTTCATCAATCAATTCAATTTCTAGTCTTTAACTATATGATGATCCGTAGGAATTCGAACTTGCTTGATATATATATATATATATATATATATATATATATATATATATATATATATTAAATAACTAATTCCAGATAAAACGGGAGAATTAGTTTTTATTTTAATAGTTGAGATCATGATTCAGTTGAAGCTAGACCACCATAGAAAACCCGGAAGCACTGGACGACCGTTTCGTTCTATTGTAGGACTCCTCAACAGTACGCATCCATGATCCCGCCTCGCAAGATTCGAACCCAGAACCTATTGGTTTCGCGCGCGAACGCCTAACCTCTAGACCACCGAGCCGGCATTCAACGGTATTAATATCTAACATCAACTTATCCACAAAATTGAGCGACGCAACAACCATTGTCTTCAGTGAGTTACTATCTCACAACAAACCCGGTTGAACTCCAGGAAATACTGTTTGAAGCCATTCACTAGTCAGAATGTGTTGATTAGTATCAGAAGGGGTTTTTGTGGATATTATAGTAATTTTAACAGTTGAGAGTATAAGTTAATTGAAGCTAGACCACCATGGATGCACTGGACGACCGTTTCGTCCTATTGTGGGACTCCTCAACAGTGCATATTCACGATACCGCCTCGCGAAATTCCAACTCAGGACCAATCGTTCTCTATTAATTGTATGGAATAAATCGAAGTCAAATAATTTATATTAAACTACCAAACAGTATAAATCATCTTTGATCGAATCTAATTATTTACACTATTTATTCAGTGATAATATGATATATTGAATATAAAAGTAATATTACACAATTGTGTATTATTACTGAATACACTGACATTTTAACAATGTATTCAAAGACCTAATTATTATGACAATTAGTTTTTGAATTAAGATTAGTAAATATTAAAACAAGAACTTCTGTACATCATTTTCGAAAAAAGAAGAACTAATTTCAAATTAATAAACTGTAGAAAAACACTTCATCTTTGTTTTAATATAACGATGTTCAATTGTCAATAGTTTGTTTATTTATTTATACTGAATTATCTTTAGATTAATGTCCAGTTTAATGTTTGACTTACAAAAAAAGACAAAGTTTTTCTCTTTATTCAAATCTATGAAATGTTGTTTTTGTTTTAGTTGTATAAATGTTTATAAACCTGTTTGTATAGTTTATTTCTTCAAGTATTATTTAAGATAAAATATTGTTTTTATCTCGAAACTGTAATAATCAATGAGTGAGATTTTAACATATAATCCAAAACTTCATTGAATCATATCGTTGTGATTAGATAATTATAAATAAAGAACAGGGATCAGTTGATAAAAAGGTACCAATGTTTAACTAATAAACTGTATATTTCGTGATTGAGATCATGAATCGATCAATGTTAGAACAACATTGAAAACCTGGAAACAGTGGAGGGCTATTCTCCCTTAGTATGGGACTACTCTACAGTGCGCATCCATGATCTCGCATGCAGGACTCGAACCCAGGATATTCGATCTCGCACGCCGACGCTTAATATCTAGACACTTGGATCGGTTTCCAGCGGTGTCAATGTCTAACTTCAACAAATCCCGTGTGCAGGGTTACCGATGTGCACTGTTGAAGAGTCCCATACTAAGAGGAAACGGCCGTTCAGCGCTTCTACGTCATCATTGGTGGTTTAACATCGATCGATTCATAATTTTATACTCTATTCGAATTTAGGTAGATTATAAAGTAACAAACAAGTGTATAGATGGTCTCAGCAGAAAATTCTATGTTTCTATCATAATTTATCCAACTTCATGTTCCGAATCCAAGTATTGTTATAAAAGTCTGTTGGTTTAATTTGACACTATCAGAAATGTGATATACATCTATGCATGATGTAAAAAAAGGAATACACCCATTATGACATTAAATAAGAAAGAAAGATTAGTTCAGCGAAGAGTTCTCTTTTCGGCGAATTCATTTTCAAAGCTGTTCAATCGCAAATATATATACTTATTTTTACAGGGTGATAATAATACTGATAATAAACTTATGATATACATGGTGACAGTGAGGTTAAATAAACAAAGGTATTAGAAAAATTTTTTAGAAACAAGGAAGGTTTGATAGATAATGGCTTAGATAGTCATCGGGTAAGAGTAGCGCAGCATGATAAAATAACATAAAATGTTGAAACAGAGATGAAATGTAATCGGAATGATCGTTGAAATAAAAACAAACCGGTTGGGGGTACAAGATTTGAAGGGAAGATGGAATGTGAAGCAGGTGGCTGTAAAAGAACAAGAGTAATGAGAAAGAGAAAAAAGAGAAAAAAAATTTTAATACATTAAGACCACGGTAAAAGAAGAGGTTGTACCAGTCTCTTTTGTACACATAATTCTGGTTTTTCAAAATGTATGGCTATTGCCTCGGCAATGCAAAGGAGATGTAGTCTAATTGTCTTAGGAAGGTTTCTACTTACCTTGTAGATGACTTTGAACGCAGAGTCTGTCTTGATTGAGTGACCTGTGTTCACAAGGTGTTCGATTATAGAACTTCTTATTGAACCGCTGCCTCCTCTTCTTAGCCACGCCGGACAATGTTCTTGAATTCTTTTGGATAAAGTACGCATCGAACGACCTATATACCTAGCTCCACAAGAGCAGGTAAATTGGTAAATGCACATTGAATTGGTCAGATGCGATAATTTATCTTTCAGATTATTGGCGAACAGTGATCGGCTGGAGAATAATATTCGCAATGTTGCTGCGAAAAATGTTCTTTTTAAGGAATCTGAAATTCTCCTCTTTAAGATATGTGCGGCTCTGTCGCCTTTGAAGTCGATGTTCATGTATAAAATTTTCTTTTCTACTGCAGTGGTTTGTGGTCTTGGCATTTTCGGTTTCATATTCTTATCAATGAATATAGAAGGATATCCGTTTTTGATAAGTATCTCTTTTAAAAAACTCAATTCTTCCTCTACGACCTCAGGGCTACAGATTCTTCGTATTCTTGTGGCGAGAGTGATTATTAAGTTTCTTTTTCGGTTGTTAGGAAAGTTGTGCTGTGTTTCTGTAGTTTTTAAACTTTTAGTGAGATCTGATATTAAGTTTTTTGTGCGTTTGTTGATAACTGTGGTAACATAATCGGTGAAAAGATTGTGTTCGTTAGGTGATAATTCATATAATACAGGAGATCTTTGTGAAATGTTGAATTCCAATAACGGAATGCGAGGACGAATAGAGTCAATAACATTTTGTGCGTGGCGTTTAAGAGATTTCGAGTTTGGATAAATATGGTTTCTTCGAAGAATTTTCCAGTAGTATTTAGGATATTTGTGCATTTTAACGCAATCGTTAAGAAAGGTAATCTTCCCATTCACTTCCGCAAGTTTGACAGAAAAACGCAGAAACTCATTAAGTTCCTTTACTGTCGAAGGGTCCTTGGAATTCTTTAATAAACGGAATATACCCATTATGACATTAAATAAGAAAGAAAGATTAGTTCAGCGAAGAGTTCTCTTTTCGGAAGTGAATGCGAAGATTAAATTTCTTAACGATTGCGTTAAAATGCACAAATATCCTAAATACTACTGGAAAATTCTTCGAAGAAACCATATTTATCCAAACTCGAAATCTCTTAAACGCCACGCACAAAATGTTATTGACTCTATTCGTCCTCGCATTCCGTTATTGGAATTCAACATTTCACAAAGATCTCCTGTATTATATGAATTATCACCTAACGAACACAATCTTTTCACCGATTATGTTACCACAGTTATCAACAAACGCACAAAAAACTTAATATCAGATCTCACTAAAAGTTTAAAAACTACAGAAACACAGCACAACTTTCCTAACAACCCTGAGAGTTATGTGTTTAATCATTCTTCAATATCGTTGACAAATGTACAATTAGAAGCCTTATCTTTGGGAATAAAATTCTGCGACATAAATGAAAAAGTTAACAAAAATCAACACACATGTTCAATTCGAAAACTTAATCAAACAAACAAATGGTCTTAATCCAATCTCTGATCAAGAATTCCAACGTTTCAAATCTACTCTTCTTGACAGCTGCAACCAATATATTAGCACAAAAGTAACAGGCAAAAGTCTACTAACAAGAGAACATAGAAATCAGATTAAACTACTTAGAAATAATAAAGACTTGATCATAACACGTCCAGATAAAGGTGCTGGTTTAGTGCTGCTAGATCCCAAGGATTATGTTGAAAAAATGGCAACGTTGTTATCAGATGACACCAAATTCTCAAAACCCAACAATGAGAAAAACAAGACTGAAATTATAGAAAAGCAACTAATTGATGTCCTTAAGAAAATGAAAAAAGAGCAGTTAATCAACGAACAGGTATTTGAGCACATAAGACCAACAGCATCGATAATACCGCGATTATACGGTTTGCCAAAAATACACAAATCTGGCCTACCTCTTAGACCGATTCTCGATATGTCTGGATCCCCTTACCACCCTATAGCAAAGTGGTTGGCGAATCTCTTAGAACCCGTTAGAAAACTCATTTGTAAACATTCTGTACGCGATACTTTTGAATTTATCGAGCACATAAAAGAAGTGAATGTAAGTGGCAAAATTATGCTATCTCTGGATGTGGAATCATTATTCACTAATGTCCCACTTACAGAAACCATTAATTTTATCTGCAAGTACATAAACAATACTGAGATAAACATTGGGATACCTGAGGTTTATTTGAAGGAATTATTACTACGTTGTACTTGCAATGTACAGTTCACATTCAACGACGTAATTTATAGACAGAAGGATGGTATAGCAATGGGATCCCCACTTGATCCATTACTGGCAGATTGCTTCATGGCCAGTTTAGAAAACAACCAACTTAAAAGAATTATAGAAAACCTCCACTTATATATAAGGTATATGGATGATATCTTTATCATTTGTGATAACAAATGTAACTTAAGTGATCTCCTAAATACATTTAATAATTGTCACCCATCAATAAAATTCACAATTGAAGTTGAAAACAAACAAAATATTCACTTCCTTGATGTAGATATAACAAGGAAACAAGATGGTACTTTAAAAAGATTTATCTACAGGAAACCCATATGGAATGGCCAGCTATCAAATTTCCACAGTTGGGTTCCCATCAGCCGAAAAAGAAACTTAATAATCACTCTCGCCACAAGAATACGAAGAATCTGTAGCCCTGAGGTCGTAGAGGAAGAATTGAGTTTTTTAAAAGAGATACTTATCAAAAACGGATATCCTTCTATATTCATTGATAAGAATATGAAACCGAAAATGCCAAGACCACAAACCACTGCAGTAGAAAAGAAAATTTTATACATGAACATCGACTTCAAAGGCGACAGAGCCGCACATATCTTAAAGAGGAGAATTTCAGATTCCTTAAAAAGAACATTTTTCGCAGCAACATTGCGTATATTATTCTCCAGCCGATCACTGTTCACCAATAATCTGAAAGATAAATTATCGCATCTGACCAATTCAATGTGCATTTACCAATTTACCTGCTCTTGTGGAGCTAGGTATATAGGTCGTTCGATGCGTACTTTATCCAAAAGAATTCAAGAACATTGTCCGGCGTGGCTAAGAAGAGGAGGCAGCGGTTCAATAAGAAGTTCTATAATCGAACACCTTGTGAACACAGGTCACTCAATCAAGACAGACTCTGCGTTCAAAGTCATCTACAAGGTAAGTAGAAACCTTCCTAAGACAATTAGACTACATCTCCTTTGCATTGCCGAGGCAATAGCCATACATTTTGAAAAACCAGAATTATGTGTACAAAAGAGACTGGTACAACCTCTTCTTTTACCGTGGTCTTAATGTATTAAAATTTTTTTTCTCTTTTTTCTCTTTCTCATTACTCTTGTTCTTTTACAGCCACCTGCTTCACATTCCATCTTCCCTTCAAATCTTGTACCCCCAACCGGTTTGTTTTTATTTCAACGATCATTCCGATTACATTTCATCTCTGTTTCAACATTTTATGTTATTTTATCATGCTGCGCTACTCTTACCCGATGACTATCTAAGCCATTATCTATCAAACCTTCCTTGTTTCTAAAAAATTTTTCTAATACCTTTGTTTATTTAACCTCACTGTCACCATGTATATCATAAGTTTATTATCAGTATTATTATCACCCTGTAAAAATAAGTATATATATTTGCGATTGAACAGCTTTGAAAATGAATTCGCCGAAAAGAGAACTCTTCGCTGAACTAATCTTTCTTTCTTATTTAATGATCTAAAAAAAGCAGATACAACTTAACCTGATCATCATAAAGATCTTATTGATCAATTTGGTATTTATATCCTGGAATGGGATTAAGCAAGTGATAGAAAATAACTTCAGTCACTGAAATAATGAACTGACCTGTAACCTATGACATCTTTTCCATATAACGATCCTTGAGAGAAACTAATGAAACATACGCCTACCTAATTCTCATTAGAAATTACTGTTAAAGATAATGTTTATATTAGAATTAGTGAACATGAGTATGAAAACACACTTGACTGTAGGAATAAAATGCATGAGTCTATTCAGTATTCCAAGTAGGTTAGTGGTTTGAGTTTATTCGTGTGTGAAACAATGTCTATAATATATTCTCTATGTAAAATTTGATGATATTCTACAACTACATTTCATGAGTTAAAGGGTAACTTTAAAACTATTAAACTGAATAATTTCTAAACCATATTCATGATATTATCACTTTTGTAATAAACAGGATATCATTTGAATCATCAGCCAGAGTAGTACCTGAATTTTCAGTTCAGTGAACATCATCTTTTCTCAATTAGTATACTCTCAGAATTTCGCAAAACATAAAGTCATTTCGAAAATAAATGGGGAATACTGCTATTGTGGATTTGACTAGACTTCTGTTTGTATTAGTATTTAAAAAGAAAGTTGAAGAAACTTTGACATATGTGTCCATATCGCTTTCTTTAAATATATTCTGTGATGGAGCTGAATTCTAAAATATCTGTAAACTATGTTAACTGGACTGTAATTTAATTTCAGAAAAACAAGTGTTCATGAACTACTTCGGAGGGATTTGTAGAGATTGTTAAATTTCACATTTCAACCAAGAAGTACTAAATGACTGTTTCATCCAAGTATGGGATTCTTGTGCAATGTGCATTCACGACCCCGACTGTAATCAAGCCCAGGAACTTTGACTTCTCAGAGAGCGCTTAGCCTATAAACCACTGAGTCACTGTCCAATGGTGTACATGTTTAGCTTCAACTAATGGGCAATATTCATAGCTATCTTTTAATCCCATCGTTAGGATATGATTGAGCTGCATTAGCAATGACTTCTCACCAGAAATACAAGAATTACTTCCACAAGTTATTCACGAGCGGGTACATAATGTTTACTATTGTAGAGTAATTTGTAAGGATTGTTATATTTTATTGTTTACACTACAGATTAATCTCAGTCAAGTGAATGGAATACATTTAGTAAAATATTTAAGTGACTCCAAAGTACCGATATGATTATTTATATACAATAACTTATGAAATCGCGTGTTCATTTAGTTACTTTAGCTTATAATGGAAACCGCACTGTAATCTTCTACATAAAAAGTAACTACATTTTCCTTATCACAATTACGATATACTGTTTTGCTTTCCGAAATTGAAAAAACACAAACAGCTTGTATAGTTTAGACAAGTGTGAATAGTACTCGATTACTTGTGTAGAGCACTGAGGTAATTATAAACGGCTTACATTAACTTTTATTTACTGATTTGCTAATATTCAAAAATAAGACTTTTCATTATACTGAATTCTGGAGGTACATATTTCATACAAACAGTTCATTAGACTGTTTTGAAAAATTTAATCATTTTTCACATGGTATTTGGTGGGAATAGATAAAAATTTAGGACCACTGAGTACTCTCACAATCCCCATACTGACAATTATTATGTGCCCACTAGTGACTAGCTTCCACATGAAATTCCTGGAGTTCAACGCGAACTCTTGATTAGTTGAACTAAACCGTGTTAAGTACACATTGAAAACAATGGAAGACTGTTGTACAATATTGTGGATTGTTTCAAACTAGACTTGTACACCACTGGATCTCGAATCAGTTGTTTGGAGGCTAATTTACAAACAGAAATATATAAAACGGAGTTTAAAAAGTTCTCATACTGTTCAATATGACGATGTTTCATATTATGTTAACTAGTCAGAGAACAGTGTTGCTATTTGTTTTCTTTAGGAGTAAAATATATTTGTAGGCAATTGATGATTTGATTATACATTGAGAAAACCAGACAGCGATTGCATCCAGTTTTAATGGCTCACAAGCCCTCTAGAGAAATGTAGACAATAAATCGAATTCCACTCACTCTCCCATTTGTTTAAGGATGTCACCTTCTCCATACCAAAGGAGTCATAATAATTCAATTAAACAGACTTAGCCTTTGCAATCAGGAATGATTTGTACGACATTTCTCTCGATTTTTAACCACCTAACTAGTTTTGTTACGAAATTATGATTATTAACCAACAGATTGTTGGTCCATTAATTACACTAATTTTTTTCTCCTTGATGTTACACAATCATTTAGAGTAAACAATAAATTTTTTTCAAGTTGAAGCTTGTCTTTTTTCATTTCTAACCAATGAGACGAATTGCCGGACACGGATTGATAATTGGGTATAAAAAGTACAATAAATCGCAGTTTTGAAAATTTTTACAAGCAGTAGGCATGATATACTTTATACGTGAATCCAAGCGACAGTAAAAGCAAACACTAGTTAGCGTTGGTCGTAGCTCAACGAATTAACCGCACAAAAGTGGGTTAGAGTGCTATAATAAGACCAAAACTGACTGGAGAGGATTTAATTTATAGAGAAGTTGTACATAATACTGATTGGACAACGCCAAGAACATTAAACTTCTATCAAAATTTTGGAGATCAGAGATTAGGTGAACATTGGTTGTTGTTAACAAATCAAAAGTATAAACGGGTAGAAACTACTGGAAAAAATCTACTAACTATTATGAAGTAAAATAACGATTTGATCTTTAAAAGATTTAAGAAAGAGTGAATGACTGACATTTGAAATATTAATATCTAACATAAAACTAAAGACTAAATCTAACTAGTTAGTAAATGGGACACAGTATGTAGGTTTAGTTTATCATATTTCATGACAATTCAGCAAAAGAAAGCTTTAGTAATCTAATAATATAATACAAAACATGACACTGGCTCTTTGATAAACAGTGTCGAAGGTCAATTATCTTGGTGTTACCTTTTCCTCTGATCTCTCTTGGTTTTCTCACGTTTTACTGTTATCAAAGAAAGTTTTCCGTCTGACTTACTACATAAAGAGATTGCATGCTCTCGGGATTACTCGTCATTTACTCTTACAATTTGTCAATTCTTGCATATTACCTATTATTCTTCACTGTTCTCCATTATTCTTTCCCGGGATTTTGAGGAAAGACTGCTGTATTTCGAAGAGTGCTGAAGGCAGTTAGCAAGGTGTGGTGAATTTTCCGAGGTCATAATTAATATGGTTGTGGATAGACATTTAAAATCATGCAAACTCCTGGCATGTGTCATTTTATCAGATACTAACCATCCCCTTCACTTATATCTTTCTCCTTGTATATCTTCTGGTAGACCAAGACGTAATTACATTAAATTCCATGCACGCAAGGAAAAGTATGAAAGTTCTATAATACCTTACCTAGCAAATATACTCTGTGACGAACAAGTTGTTAGAGTTAACCTAGTCAATAACTTGCATTTTTAACATGTCCTTAATTCTAAAAGTTGTAGTTTTTCGGCTTTTTTCTTTCTTTAAAAAAAAAACTTTTTTTCAACTTTTTTGTACTTGTTACTGTTTTTTTGTTGCGTAACTTGTTGAAATAACCTGTGCTGAGAATTCTATATTGTACCAAAACTATAATATTGAATAAAGCCATTAATAATAATAATAATAATGAAAAGGAGTATTATTGACCGAAAGAGGAAACGAACAGTTGACATAATAACCAACCACATATTAGATTATAATATCTTTTTAGCCACAGAATGCGTACATGATGACACATTCAGTATGAAACAATCAATTCATAGTCACGTAATAAAAACGTAGCACAAAATTCAATAGATAAATTTTTTCGAGCATAATGTTAATCAACGGAGATGACTTCAAATAATGTATGTTGACTACTGACCAGCTAACGTTCTGATGATAGACCACAACCAGTCAATTAAATCAAGTTGGTGAAAATGGTAGTCATTTATTAATGAGAACAGATGAGGGTCGTGCTATTGGAATTGACTGAAAGTTGAGCATTTACACCATTGAGCATCTATTGAATGGTGTTTTGTTTGGCTCTGAACCATACAGAGTAGTAAGTCACTGAGGATTTCTAAACGATGATGAAGTAGTTCTCTTCAGTACTTCTTGGTTTTCAATAGTTACTTTAAGCACAATGTGTCGTAAGAAATCTCTACAAAACTAAGTACAATCAATATATTTAGATTACATTCTGCCAGGGAGAGGAAGGATGCGATAAATTTTTGCAATCCATATTTCCTTATTGACCTTTGTCATTATCTGATTGTTTTTTACCGTTCCTAGTTTCCTGTCACTGTAATTTCTCATAGTCATATAAACAGTTGTTCTATTATTATTTTGACACCGATTTCTCTCTTTAATTGTCTAGTGGAATTATTTTTGACGTGTTATGTACTAGTCGTTCAGTTTATCTAGTCTACATACATCTTATTTCGTATTAGAAGCATCTACCTCAAAATAATTCTCAATTCAGATTTATTGTAAGCTAACTAATTGATATGAAGGGTATTCATGGAAGGAAGGCAATATGTTTTCACTTGTACCAATCTATGTATTCTTACTTTGCGTTGTGGAAATTGTAGTCGTTTCTCGCTTTCTAATACAAGTAATTGGAAATGCGTATATAACACTAACAAATTAGAACACATAACCAATCAAAACTTATATTTTAAATTATAGTACATAACTGAAAAGTCCAACTGATTAATAATTCATTTATTAAATGCATAGGAAAGAAAGTAGAATTACAAAAGAAACAACTGATTATTATACAAATCATAATACAATACAAATTTACTCAAAAGAAAAATTATAGAGAAAAACCTTGTGACTGTACATACATTAAAGGTTGATAAGAAATCTTGTTTTTTTAAAAAGACGGATTAAAAAAACCAATAAGAGAAAAATAAACTTCATCAAAAACAAACAAACAAACAAAAAAATCTTTCATTTACAACAAATTTTCACCCATACAATGCTTGTTGTGATCCAACACCAGCTCCATTGTTAACACTTCCTCCTATACCGAATCCAGTCATCACATTGGAATTATTCAATGAAGTAGAATCAGCTGAACTGATTGGATATGATGCAGCTACAGTTTGTGTAATAAGTAGAACAAGTTGAACTAATGCTGAATCATTACTACTGGTTGCCATAGCATTTGCTTTCGATTCTACATCAGTATCATGTAATAATCTTAAAAGATTTAAACCAATTGTATCTGATTGATTTCTATTATTTGTCATTATATTTTGTGATTGATTAATAGTTGGATAGATAACAACATGATTTACATCCCAATCATAACCAACAACAACTAATTGGGCTAATGGGATAAGATTTTTAGACTAAAAATAACAAGAAAGAATCAATAAATGTGAATGAATATTATTCTTTATTCAGTATATCTTGAATCTGATCTCTAATTATTTCAACAAATGATTTAAAATAAAAGAATAATAAAGTGTAAATCATCAAAGGACAAGTACATATTTGTTTATATGTGACGAGGCTACTGATAATATCTGGTTGTATAAACCAAATTAGATGATGAGGAATTTGGACATGTAACCTAGTAGTTGAAAGTAGAATGTCTTAACTATGTAAATCTGATATCCTTCTTCATGAAGTAAAGCACAGAATAAAAAGTCTATCATTAAACATATAGCTACTTAGATAATTTACCAGAAGAAAACATGAAATAAACACTATAGCAGTTAGTTCAACAGCTTTTATTTGTTCATTTATAAAAGAATACTGTTAGAAAGCATTCTTTTTTTTCTATAGAGCACAAAATATGTGTGTGGAATGGTCTAAGAGTATAGTGGAACTATTCAAATTTTTGTCAATTACTCTAACGTCTCACAAATGATAATGACAACCGATTCACCTCTTCAGAACTTAATTTTCTGCATGACCTTTGCTCTTTCCTGATTGGTTTTTTATGTACCTCTTGAAGTTTACTTTTTGTTACTGTATAGACAAACTTGTTATATTTCGAATTGTTTTATTTGAATATCAAGTATTTCCTATAATTCATTTTCTTGTGTTAGAAGCTAATTGATGAAGTGTTGTTTTGTGCTAGCTCCCGTTAACCAATCTACAGGAGAACCATTCATAATAGAATAGCTCATTCGTATCTGATTTCGCATGTATCGTATGTCAACCAGAAACCTCAATTCGTAGTCATATTTAGAAGCCTACATAACAGCAATAGGTTTTGACAAAAATTCATTTAAAAAACGGCGACTATACGTAACAAGGCGAAAATGAAATATCGAATTGTCGACCAGAAAAATGAAAATTATGGTTGACATTAAACATCACCCGTTTGCATATTTCAGCTTCGAAAATGACGACGATATCGTAAAGATGGTTCGCAGCAGGCCAACCAAAAAATGATAATTTAACCCGATGTACTGCTGTAATCAAATTACTGAATAGATCAACGCTTATTTGTCCTGGTAAAATAAAATTGGCTAATTTTGTAAAAATGAAAATTCAGAGCACTAGCCCACTTACTCTGAAAATACATATATTTGATTTCAAATTACATGATTAGTATCTTTGATTAAATAATAAGAACAACAAAAAGCTTACCAAATGTCGTGAATGTGAACGCATTATTAACAGTTGCAATGTGATTTTCGATGGACGAACAATGATACCAGGCATACCAGGCTGTAAGTCAGAACCAGTGTCAAATGTAAGTAGATTTTGTGCAGCCCCGGTGGCTGCTGACGCTGCTGTGTTTGTTGGTTGATTTGTTAATGAACTACTGCTACTGATAGCAGTAACACGTGAATTAACACCCATCCCAATTAAACCTATACGTACATAAACAGGAGCTTGAGCAGGTGAATGTAAATCAAACGCTAGAACACGACCCATTGCACGTAATGCATGCGGAGGTAGTAACAATAATCGGAAAAACGCAGTCACAGCACTTGGTTGAAATGGGAAAGAACAAACCTGAAATATAACACAAAAAAGGAAAACAAAATGCCTTGTTAATACCAGGAAATTTTGTAGTTCACTTTAAGAACTGATTGTAATTAGACGACGAATCAGAGAACTAGAAAGCATTAAACAACTGTTTCGTTATATTATAGGCTTTTTCAGTGGTATACATCTGCAAACCTAATGGCGATCGAACTCAGAACTCTCAGATCTCATAGCAACTACTTAACTATTGAACTAATCAACTGGGATTCCACGACTTACATTTTTAATTCGCTGTTCAGGAGTATCATACTAGGACAAAACTATCACCCAATGCTTCATGGTTTTCGATGGTTGTTTAATCAAGGTTAGTTCATGATGTGAACTATAAGAAGGAATTGTTCATGCTCGTGGTAAGGGTAATATAATTGTATTATTCAGTCCTGCCAGTTGGTCACATAGACCATGGAGCTTGTTTTTATTTCATACATGACTAGTTTTGACGCTAAGAACGGCGTACTATACCTTACCTCATGAATTTCAGTCTCCAATGTTAAACCCTTAAACATACGGAGCTAACTTACCTAACACTACCCCCAGTGAGACATAAAGTGACCGGCTTTAAGTAGCTGATCCCTGGACTTTTAGATCACACTCCTTGATTACAAGAACCTCTAATACTAGTCCATTTTCTTTTTCAGGTCTTTTAAAGAACTGTCGTTCCATGGTATTGATAACCTCGGGAACTGACAACCACCCTTATACTTTTAATGGCATGTGATACCGACAAAGTCACTAGTTTAAGTAACTTCATATGAAATTTATTAAGATGGAAGGTATGCGTGGAACCAAAATTCAGGGTTTTCAGCTTGAGTAGCGTAGTCACCAAACGCCGAATACGTTTCGTCTCATCCCCCACTGTTCGAAACGTTCCTGAAAGTCCTCAAAATGAGTGATCTTCGCCTTTAACACCAAAGTGCTTTGACAAAATCGTGTCCGCAGAAGACTACCGCAACATAAGTTCATCAGTAATTATTCAGACAGTAAATTGCCAATCAGAAAGCATATGTTCACTGTTTTCCACCAAAATAGGTCGATGATCAGCCTAAATTTATTGAAGTATTAATCACTTTCACTGAAACTGTTAAGCTATTTACAAAACAGACATTCGATTCATATATAATCATAAAAATTCTGGAAGTTTCTAGTGGATTACTCTAAAGCTTCATTCAACGTCCTAAGTAGAGAGATTCACCCTCATTTACTGAATAGATCACGTTCAGAAGTAATGCGACTGATTTCAAAACCCCCACAAACAACAATATGAAATCACATGTCATATGTATGTATGTATTCGAGCATAACTTACTCTTTTCTCAAAAAACTCTTCAAAAACATTCAGTGTTTCAGGTGGCCAACGATCACATGAGTTGACACTTTGACTAAGCTGAAGTTTTAGCCTCCACCAGAAAGATTCAATTCCGTTGTTTGTAGTTGGTTGACATAACATTGACAATTGGACAGTTAATTGACTCACTGGCCAAATACATACAAACACCGCATTTTCAAGTAGATCATGTTGATTTTTGATTCGTTGTTGTTCATCTGTTTGTTGTTGTTGTTGTAGATCATAAGGGATTTCATTATGAACATGATGAATCGGTACATCTAAACTTTGTATAGCTAAAATTGCAGCATGAAATAATAAACTTGTTGATAAATAAGATTCAAGTAACGTTGGACCGGGATCAGTACGACGATAATTTGTTAGAGAAAATGTTTTCGATGACATTATGCTTGATTTAAATTTGTCAAAGGTTAATCTTGTTAGTTGAGCAAACTGAGTAAGTGTTAAGCTGGTCAATTTTTCTATAAAATAGGAAAATAAAAATAAAAAATAATAATGTCGAAGATTGTAGTAATTTAAGGGGATAGAAAATATTTACAGCGTAGGATAAAGAATTTCAAGGTGTTGTATGATCACTGACCTAGACAGTTTAATTGTAAAGTATTCCATTGCCTTTCGAAACAATATGATCAGTAAATACTTCACAAAAAGAATTGACTGATTTTGTGCCAAATCTGTGATTTCTGATAATTAAAACAGATATGTAAATGGGAGCAACACAACTGTGAACAACTAAGCAGAACAAGCTGTCAGTCAATTATGGAGAGATTCAAATAATTCCTCTTCATTTTGTAAAGCACTTGATGATCTTGTTCAGGAAAACAATGCAAAGTAGTGGTTGGAGGTAGTCGACCGGGACGCCTGGACCAAGGTTTTGTGTCATTCGGCACTCGTCGGCGAGGTGTGCATGTAATTTTGAGAGCTGAGGTTCGGTGGCAAACTCAACCTTGATCACTGCTCAGTGATCAATTAATTGTAGACATATTTGTCCTACAGTTGGTCAGTTGCGAAACGAATAACTCAGTGGTAACGTCTCCAACTGTGAAAATGGGTGGTACGGGACCGAACCCACCAAGAAGCATCACTTGCCTCAAGATTACAAGTACACATTCTTGATGGGTAATAAACAGCACGAAACCTAGGTCCAAGATTTCGAGTAAACTGCATCCAACCACCACCTTACATTACAACATACTGCATGCGATGTCAAGTCACATATACTAGTATCTACAATGTAACCTGATAGATACAATTTAATCGACACCAAGAAGGACTTGAATTACATGACATTTAACACTATCCAATGATCAATCAGTCGTAAAAGGCAATGCAAGCTTCGTAATTAAACTATTTAGATCACAGAACACACGATACCTCTAAACAGTGAAAAATAAATTTACTCCCCAATCAATCAATTGTATTTAGGAAGTTAGTGGTAATTTTCTCTAAGCAATCCGATAAGTTTTCGTTAGATAAGAAAATATTACCAGCAATTCGAATTACTTGCTTATGCAAACAATGTTCATGAAAATATCAGATTTACAATGGAATATAAACACACCAATCAATTTAGTTTTCAAGACTAATATGTTAGACAAAGAAATAATGGAACCAATTGACAAAACTATATACAATAAAGAAACTATGATTAATTTTGCTATGAATAGGTCAATTACTGAAGAATAGCGTAATATTCATCAATCTTATCAATCAACATGTAATGTAACCATTAGTTTAGATGCTCTGAAATCTCATGGATTACTTTGAAATATTAGTTGGTTGGAAGAAGTCAATTAGAAAGTAAGGCGAGACTATAATTTATGGACGAACCAATCAGACTTAGGATAGCAGGTCTTGGATTTTGGCGCGAAATTCACTCACCCATTTGTCCAAATAGCGTCTTGGCATTTTAGCTGATGTCAGTTTGTGATGAAAACCATAAATCTAAATCCTCACCCTTAACACGAACTATTCATTTAATCATTAGTCATTTAAAACACACAAAAATAACCAACTATTTGAATGATATCGAAATAAGTACAGTAAACTATTGAGTTAATTATTCATTTTTACTATGTTGCTTAGAAAATAGCTAAGAAATTCATGATCTCCAACTATTATTGTTTACTGTTAAATTTCATTTTAAAAGAATCTAAGCAAATTATATGTGAACGGACTGATTGTTGTTCACTGCCAAATGAAGAAATCGAAACAGTTACTACTTATCCATATGTTGCACTAAGGATATACAATTTCAACTTTCAATAACAACAACTTATATTGTTGTCAGTTAGGGGCTGTAGAGATTATTGAATCTGACAGAATATCGGAATCAGTGGTCTAGAAGTTAAGAGTCTGATTCCCGCGTGCGAGGTCCCAGACGCGGACTGCTTAATTGTGCCATAATAGGACGAAACAGTCATTGAGGGCTTTAAGATTTTTAATTGTTCTAACTTAGAACGGTTCGTGATTTCAATGACAGTTATATTGTCGTCAAATTAACAAAGTTCTTATAAGTAGAACGTTGAAATCAATTACAGATAACAGGTGTTTGCATGAAAATCACAGATACACTGTGCATAAAATTTTATTGTGAATAAGTAGCTATAGTATATCAAGTAACTATTTAGGAGACAATAAACAAAAAATTGTCAAAGCGATCCTAGGTTTGACCCTCATCGAGCTTATAAGTGTGTACTGCTTCGAAGAGTCCCATACTACGGCAAACGACTATCCAGTGTGATTTCGGGTTTGTTAATAGTTGTCTAATTAGGATCAGTTTGTGATATAAACCACATAACGATTCCCCCCACATACACACACACACCTCTATGAATAATAATTTTTAAGATTTCCCTGAATTATTTAACAATTAATATAAGTATAAATATTAATAATAATGATAATAGTGTAATAGCTTACCATCTGAGTTTATGCAAAATAATTCTTGCAAGGATTTTAAGAATTTCTATACAAAATTTAAGAAAATAAAAAGCAACGTAGTAGGATTAGAAGAAAAATACTTGTGAAAAAAATTATCGGTCACAGAAATATTTACCAATTAGATTACAAACAAAAAGCAACAAACAGAAAAGTCTTTCAGGAAAACAAACGACACATATGTTGAATGGAGCGGTGACTTAATGGTTACATTGTTAAACTTTTGATCGCCAAAGCTTAATGTTTGAACTGCTCTCTACCTACTTCAATTTGGACAACCAGATAGTATTATTAGGCCGTACATTTGAAGTATGGTTCATAAACAATTAGTTGGTGAGTGGGTCCATATAAATTTAAATATTGAATGTTCATGTCACCACCAGTCAGTTGTCACAATCCTTAAAGAGCCTGGAAGAAACGTACTTTATTCCAAGTCTTCATGTTACATGAACATGACAAAAATAGATGATTGGTCAAATAATCAAAATAACAGTAGTATTTATGATCGTGAAAGATTAAACATTTTAGAAAACAATTCGGGAAGAAGGGTTGAATTATTTATTTCAACACATAAATATTAGTACCAATGGGCATTAAAAAAAATATGCGCCATACAATAAGCAAATGAGATTGTTAAGAGATGGAGGAAAGAGTATGAGTATAATCTAAAACAATATAGGAATAAAAATAAGTGAACGAAAGTAGTAAATAGTAAGAGAAACAGGTCAGTTAAGTAAAATACAATCAAAAAGAATCCTTTCAGCCTTAACTGAAGAAGGTAAAGGAAACTTATAGCAGGATCGTCACTGGCTTTTGTTCTGAACGATATTTGATAACATTTCAAGCCTCTGAGTTGTACTATGTCTAGGATCCCAGTCAGGGGAGTCGTGAAGGATCGGAAGATGTCAATCTTGTACAGCTTTTTTTCATACCCCGGCACCTTGTCATAAACAGACTATCTTTCTGCTTTTTACAACCAGTCCCAGAGTCCGCATATAATGCAAGATGTGGAATTCGCTAGGAAAACAATCGTAGTACATGTCCAAACAACCGGGGTCAGTGTTTCGAGATAGTGACACCAGTCGAATTATTCTCATTCTGCCCGAAAACATGTTTGCGAACCTCCACATTACTAACATGGTGTTGATATTAGTTGCTAGCAAAAGATGACCCAGATTGGCAAAAGCCTCTTTGAATTCCAATATACGTAAATGAATGTTTATACACCTAACTTTGTTGTTCTACTAAATTTTACAGTAGTTGTTACGTAACTTGAACATCCATAGTTATTCATTATAGATCAATAAAATTCCTATAATTATTTCTAGGTTGCAGGCAGGCGATGAGAACCACATGAAATAAATGAATTTATCTTATTCTACTACGCTCGTCGTGTTTGTTTTATACACAAACAACAGAAACACACACACAACTAATAATAAATACAAACCTACCGAGAAAGCAGGTAATGGAGCTAAGTTGCATAAAGCTTTGTCATCCAACATCTGATTATTCCATCCATCTGTATTGAAAATAGGTGGATAGGGCTTTTTCCCTGTTGTTAATTGATTATAGGCATCAAGTAATTGAATAGATTTAGTTGTTTTTAATGCATCATTATTATTGTTAGATAATGACATTGCAGACGATACAATTGGATGTTCAATAATATTTAGTGTAATTCGTAAGCTTAGTGACGCACGATACATTAGAATAAGATCACTAGGGGATAAAGCGATCAATAGCATACCACATACAGGTTGTATACAATGAATATGCGAAGAAGAAACCTAAACGAATAAGAACACTTCATTGAGAAAGGAAGATAGAACTAAAAAAATACATACCCATAGTCATTAAAATTTAAAAAAGACTACACAATGGCTTTCTTATTAATGGGGCATTTAATCAATCAATCAGTCAAGAGTGACATAGAACGCGGAATACATTTTTATCGGATCAACATGACATATCATATCAGCAAATTTAAGTGAATGTATCATGAAAAATCTCAGAGTTGCACGAGTTGTAACATTAATGCTGAGAGTGGAAAAGATAAGGCATAGACAGTATGATTCGAGAAAAAGGAATGAATTCCCAGTTGAAATAATTTTGAAACTCAGGTTTGAAATGAAAATAAAGAGTGAATGCATTTCCATAATTGTGACTGATCCACAAACATGATACTCAACCGTTCCAGCAATTTTTGTTACGATAGTAGCGGGGACCCCAACAAGCATACTTTCTACTCATCTATATGGGTTAATTCAATAGTGGATGACTTCATGAGCTGATGCAATGTCTTGGATTTGACAGCCTCGATATTTCTACTCAGTAAGCCTACACTGTCTTATCTAGTGTTGATATTCAGTTGACTAATTCCAATACTCTTTTAATTTACATAGATTAATCTACGAAACTAATGAGCCATATAAGGATGTGTGAATTCCATGGTTGTGGTCTATAGAATGATTATAATTTACAGTTGCAGACCTTAAGATATACATAACTTAGAAGTGATTGCAGTGGAGCGAAATCATTTATCTTGTTCTAAATTTTAAGATAGAATAATAATCTATACTTTGTGAGATAAAATAGAGTATTTTACTAAAATAAATTCCATGAAAGGAAATATATAATGATTGTATACAGTAATTAACACTTGTATACTAAAAATTCTCTACTGATTAAAGAAAATATTGATTTCATTTAAAAATTATTACCTTAAGACCATTATAAGACAAAACTTGATCTCGGAGCGGTTCCACACATCGAAAGAATTCCAATGTATTCAACATTGTCTATAAACAATGTAAAAAAAGCCATAGTCATCAAAAAAGATGTTGAAACATTAGGATTTTTGAAATAAATCAACTACATAACCGTATAGTGAAAAAAATTCTAAGAAATTTGGATAAATACTACTGTAGCGGTATTATGATCAACAACGTTGCACCAAATTGTTAAGACACGGGTAAAGATTCAACAAAAAAAACCCGGTATATACTGCAGTTTTCATATATTTTTTGATTAATAAAACCGCCTATGATACTCCACTCTAGATCAATCATATGGCATACAAACGAGATCAGTTTTCCAATTATGATCACTGGATAATTTATGTTTTAAAGTAAAAAGTATTTGGAACGTTTGGAAAGAGTATTCATTTTAAGAAATGAAATAATTAAAAAATATGGGAACAACTTATGCCATAATTGAAAGAAACATCTTTTCAACTGTAAACTGGAATTCATTTACAAATAATTTGATCAAAAGCACATTTTGTGTCATTTGTTGTTGATTTGATGTTTGTTATCGACTAGTAAAATAATTTTTACAAGATTTGTCTAAACTTTATATGCTTTCAAGATCTGTTCTTTACTTTCCTTTTTTGTATTACATTATCTGCTAATTTCTACGACAAAAAAATACATTCGTTAAGTGTGTGGGGAGTTTTATTGTATGTACACTAGTCTTTTTTACTTTAAATTTCTTTGAAATGAATAGATTCTTGTCATAAATTGAACAATGGTCAATTTTTATAGATTTGACTAGCAAGACTTTTGGTATACTGAAGATTGTGCACTAAAAACTTTCTTTAGGTTTCTCACTTAATCATCATTTACGTTCACATATTTTGTTAATATAGCAAAAAGGTTTTCTGTTCAACTATTTTTAATAGGAAGAAAATACGTGTTTGTTTTAGAATAAACAGACACTTAACTTTGATTAAGTTTAAATTCTGATATATTAAATACTATCCTATATTGTTTCCCATTACGTTTCCTTGGACTTTTTAAGAAAATAAACATTACCCCTTATTAGGTAAAGTTATGAAGATTATTAGTCAAGTTAAATGGTGAATTCGTTGAAGTATGACGATAATCATTGATAACAAACATTTGAACTTGTACAAACCATCGGTAAACGTTATTTTATCAAATACAAACCATTAATTGTATTCGCATTTTATACCTTGTGAATTGTTTAACGAAACGAGATCCCAACACTTAATGTCACAAAAGAGAAATAATAACAACTCTACTATACTGTACCTAGCATATATATTATGCGACAAAAATATATTTTAAAGGATGTTCAATGATACAAAACATCAATCAGGAACAGGTTTGTAAAATTGGTAATAAGGTATACTCTTTTACATGTTGAACATTATACCTACAGATTATGAATTCAAAACCTCTTAAAGAGTTTGTTTTTTTTGGTGTAATTTAAAGTAAGCTATACAAAAGTGAAGCAAATTGACCGAAGTTTGTTTAAGAAAATTACATATTTTATGAAGATACCGAATGTGTTTCCATCTTCAACACACTATATTTACGATCGAAAGAGTTTGAAAGAAGGGGCCATTTTTAAGCTTAAATTACGAAGTACAGGAAAATGACTATAAAATCGTAAACAAACAACAATCGATCATAGGAATTAAAATAGCGCTAAAGAGATGCTTCCCTGAAGACTAAGTGTTTTTTGTGTATGATAACAGATGTTTCTTAAATCAATCAAAAGTGTATAAATAACCTTCTGAGGTATCTCCAAATTCATTTACGTATACTTGAGTAAGGAAGAACACATGAAAGACTGAAAGAAGGATATCTACAGAGTATTCCGAATATATTTTCCCTAATTTTCGTGAAGTGAAGTTTTAGAATTCCGTTTGCAGCTAAGGAGAAACATTGAAATACAATGAATCCACGTTAGTTTGTGGATCATCTTCTTTTCGCTTCATTTTAGTTGATTAAGGAATTAGAGCGTATTAAATAAATCATAATAATAACTCACTGTAGCTAAAAAATATATCGACTTCCTAGCATTTAACAGTTCTTCTAAGTGTTGTCTAGCGATCATATGTGGATTGAAATCAACATTTATTGTATTACTCATATTGGTATCGTCATAGTTTAATTCTCTTGTTGTATTATTACTAATACTCAATGATATTGGTCGAAAACCTAAGGACAATGTAAATTTCTGTCCAGTTGGATTAGATATATCAGCCTAAAAAAAGAGGAAATAATAATAATGCTAAGTTGATCGAAGCGTTTAATTACATGATTGAGATACATGAGAAACCAAAGTTCATAAAACAGCGATTTTTTATTGAGGAATAGACATAAATTATTTACAAACCTTAACTCGTGAAGTTTTTGTAGCACTTACCGCGTCTGTAAACCTGAAATAAAAATTGCTTCCTGCTATAATAGTCTGAAGATTAATTATGACATACGCTAGTGCAAATAGCAGCCGATAGATGTGTCTAATCTTGATAACAGTTTATTAAAAAACAAAAAGGAACCAGTTGCATTTAAACGAAGATTAAACGACTATGCAAAATTAAGAACAACTGTTACAGGAGTTGAGAGGAAGCAGTCATAATGATAAATGTAATAAATGTTATCAGTATCTGTAAATATTTTAGAATATTACACGAAGAAATTACGTCACAATATTTGCGTAAAAATTGCTAGGAATAAACTATTTACTCAATATTGATAAGTAGTATAAAACAATACACAAAAAAGGATTGATGAGGAAAGAGTAAAGACAGGGAATGTAAACAAACTTAACAAACAGTATGACATGAAAATTCATTTTTGTAATAGGCTTTACTGAACTCTGTCTTTTTACTAAAAGACAGAAAATAGTTGAGAAAACTAAAGAACAGAAAAATGTGAAATTATTCAACGTTAAGGACAAAAGTAGTTAAGTGATACACACATATATTTCTAACGAATCTCAGAGCATATCATTGCAGTAAAAAGTATCCATTATTGGATGCTGGCTTGATGGAGAGGATCGGAGATTCGGTAGAAAGCTCAGAACTAGGGTTTTTTGATTATGTGCAAGAGGTGGACAAAACAAAACATGGAATCAGTCCATGAAGTTATTGCTAACTGAACAGAGCCATGTTAATTAGTAGGTTTAAACTACTTAGTCGGTGTCAGTATGACTATCGTAGCCAATGGTTAGAGATTTTGAGTGACATGGCTCAAAATCATATGCAGTAGCACAGGCTCATCCATTCTTTTTATTCCTAAAGATTCTAAGCCTCTGAATTCTTCATAACTTTTTATGTTTTTACTTCACAAATTCATATTTCCACCTTGAATCGTATCTTTGATGTTTAGTCTTTTCTGTTACCACGGATACTGTTACTAACTCTATCATTCTGGGATTTTGCGACAATTTCATCTATCCGTGCTAGTAGGGTGAGTATAGCAACTTGGACTGATGTACATACCTATCAGGTTCTATGTTGTAACGGTATAACTGTGTATCAGTTTCCATATTTTATCTTCTTAGTTTCGACTGTAGACAATCACTGTCAACTTTAGACACAGAAAAAAGCTATTATTTGCATTCATACATACGCTGGTGAGTTAAAAGACACAGATACTTCACAAATTCAAGTGTGTAATTAACTTGCACCGTTTTGTGGAAATAGAAACACTTTCTAAACAAAATCTTTTTGTTGAGTTGTGATTTTCCCCACTTAATTCTATCGTGTAATTATATAACGAAATAGAACCAACAGTAGACATAGAGACTATCACACATACACTGTGCAACATTTATTTTACCAATAACAATAAATCAAACTTACTAAGTAGTATTTACCATAAATCAATGATAATGTCCTAAGATTGTAGGAATAAACTTGTACACCTTTAGGAAGATAAATATCTATGGAAGAAAAAGAAAAAAAAACAGTAATTCATTTTAATTCAAAGTAAAATACTATTTACATGATTATTTCTAAAATTCTAGAGAAACCCAAATAATCTTCTAACGGAATTGGAATGCCATACAGTTGAATGTGACAATACTGATTTGAGAAAACGTGAACAATTTCATCAGAATGATTGTGTCAAGCCCATAGCTAAACCATTTGTGTGTCGATCGGAAAAATTGGCGATTATATGTTTATTCATAAGTTTGTTGATAGTAAGTACAACCGCATAGATACATAGATTGCCACTGGACAGTGAACTATTATTACTGATTCGTTATCACACGAGTGATGAGGTGATTAAATTCCATTAGAGATCATATTGTGCTCAATATCCTCGATGATATGACATACTTTGATGTAATAATCTTGACGTGAAAGCTTTGGCAAGAAAAATTATAACGAATTTCAACTCTAACGACTTCCGATATTCAATGTTTGGCCAGAAATGTCTGACCCCTGTAGATCAATCCAATCATTGAAGAAACTTTAATTAGAGTATTTCGATGTTAGTTACTATGATGCACAACAAAATGGGATAGACTATATTTAGAGGTCTATTAAATGAACATCCAAACAATGATCTAAGTAATTTTCGTTGTACAGTATAAAACAATATTATGGTATTTAGATAACGTACTCCTCTATTTAAAACAAAAAATGTATTAGATCATTTTAGTGTTACGACTGATTTCATGAAATTTTCCTAAAGAAGTACAGATATGTAAATGATTCTAAGGTGTAAATACAAACTGAAATATTAGAAGGGTTTTTGTGTGGATATTATAGTAATTTTGAGATCATGAGTCAATTGAAGCTAGACCACCATGGAAAACATGGAAGAACTGGAGGGCCGTCCAGTGGTGAAAACCACTCAAAAAAGAGTAAGACAGCAATTAGTAAATAAAACAATTCACTGAGTGAATTATCAAATGTTATTTCGATCTACGATAATGAATGTATTATCGATTTAGTGACAGTATAGATCTACTTTACTGATAAACCCATTAAGGGGTCCATTTTCTAACTTTGCTAAGAAGAAATCAGTTAAAATTGGGCCTAGAGATGACCCCAAAGTTATTGTATCAATTTGTCCATAATAAGTATTGTTAGAGTTTGAAGCAAACAGTGTCGAGTTCGAGTCCCGGAGTGAACACCAACTCCGGGATGCAGGAATATTCAGCTGATGAGTTCCAGAAAGGATGAAACATGCGTTCTGGATTCCACTGCTAACCACCAATCATCTCTGCTTATAATGCTTGTGATCTAAGGCAATATCGAGGCAATCCGTACAGGATGTACATTAGCTAATAAGAGACTGATCAAATGCAGTCCTAAACATCAATGGGAACATTCAAACAATCAAAACAAAAATGAGTCAAATTCTGTTATTTTTATCAAAGCAATTAACTAGACAAATCGAATGAACGTTAACTTGGGAGATAAGCACAAACAACGAAAACAATAAAAATAATCATTAATGTCAAAAAAAATTAGTGAAACAATTTACACGAGAACAGTGCACATAATTATTCAACTAACTATTGCTAATAATTAATTATTCTGTCATAATAAGTTATCAATAAGTTTGACATAACGTGTTTAATTCTATCTGTAATGACATAAATATGATACTGGCTGAACGAGTGGCTATATGGACTCAGTAAATAAATGGATAGGTAAAGTGATGAGTAATTGAAGTGATAGGTATTGGGTTCAGATCCCGAGGTGGACATCAACTCTGAGATCCAGGTACGTACAAACTGACGAGTCTCAAGTAGGACGAAACGCGTATTCTGGAGTCCATTGCTAGCCGCATCTCATTTATCCTGCAATAAAGCATCTAGTTGATGCAGACTGTAACTTATTTGTTCAGTTCAAATAATAGAAAAACTCCATCTCTACTCTTGTAGGAAGTCAATATCCCTGGATAGCGTTCATAGGAAACATATAGTCACATACACCAATATAGGTATTAGGAACTAAAATTTGCTACTGTTGATTGTATCGTATGTGCTTAATACAGTATATAATTTAAAAGGGTAATTTGTTCCCAGAATATATAGCTTGATTGTATTATATCATGATAAACAATACACAATGTAGCAGTAAAGGTTAAGTTAAACATAAAATTATCCTTACTGGGATTACTGATAACATGATAACATAAAGCATGCATTGAACACAAATTTTCCCATTCTACCAGTATATTTTGTACGACAATATTGAAATGTTCTAATCTTGCTACAGTCCATTCAGCAGTTTGATGACGCAAATAAGTTGAAGACATTTGATTAATTCCATTTAAAGGAGCTACGATACCAGTAAAGACAATATCTAATTGCCAACTTCGACGATGTGTAAAAGGATCGAAATGTGGTCGGAGTATCATTCCATGAACAAAATCGACTAGAGGAATAATATCTGATGGATGCCAGCTTGGCGGATTGAATGGTATACTGTGCGTATGGAAAGAGAATAGTTTAAAAAAATACCAAATGGATACGATGTAATAACATGTATATATATACATAGTAAAATGGTGGTTTAATTTATAAAGTTACAGCTCAGTATTGCATTTTTAACCACTGTATCGTAGGTGAGAAGCTACTATACACGCTCTAACTACTTTACTTTCCAAATCTACAGGTACTCTACAATTCGCACATACATAATGTCCTGGTACGGACGAGAGTGAGAAGAGTCCGCTCTCGCTTTCGAAATGTTCTCCCATAGCCACTACTAGAGAAGTACTACTCACTGCCTTCTCAAGGTGAGGATGTTGTTTATGAAGTTGAGAAGACGAAAAGGGAATGTTTGGGGTCTAAACTGTGTTGGTGGGTACAAAGGACCCATCCAGGGAGTTAGAAAACCCTGATTCTAAGCCAATGGTGCACGTGAGCTCAAGGATTCTGAGGGGACAAGTGGGGCATGAACGGTATTGGTAACAGGTTACCATGAGGCGGCAACTCTTAATGTTGCTCCACTGTCATGTGGATTAGACATCTGGGTCAAATGCTCGGAGTGTGGCCCGTAATATAACTACCAAGTTCGGTTTGGGCACCCGGACAGTATCTAAGCTCACACACAAATTCAATGATTCATGTGGCGCATAAATACTTTGATGTCCCTTTGTACCAATGTCTATATGGTCAATTAATTAACAAATAAACTAAATGTTTTTTGAAGTCAATTATAAAAACATATACTTAATTACAAAACGTTTCATCAATATAAATGACTTAATTCCATACTTTACTCTTAATATTCTAAAACAGGTTACTACTACTTTCACAGTTTACACCATTACAATGATAACACAAAACATAGCAGAATTTATCGAATGTAATTGAACAAATGGATAATATGTGTATATCAATTCAGATACAGGTTTACTTATTAACGACAAATGAACTGTTCAAGGGGCTCCAGTGAATTATTTGAAAAAAAAAGTGTAATGAACTCAGTCATTTGTATTTTATCAAATGACAATTAATGTCAAGAAAAAGTAGAATCGAAATAATTCAATTCTTCGGAAAAAGTAAAACTGAGGGGAGTAGATTTTCAATAGATTTAGATCAGCTGGATACTGAACCAATATATTATGGTGTAAAGTCTACTCATTTCAATTGTAACTTAGTAGTATCAAAAGCACAAATGTGTATGATTTTATTACCTGGCAGTTCAGAAGGAGGTAGATATGATGAGGTATAGATTTCAAGTATTTACACTTCCTGACCACAACTAAGTAATAACTCTGGTTTCGTGCTAGTTGGCACTTGTCAGCAAGGCGTAAATACTATCTTGACAGAACAAATGCTCCCTATGTGATTCGATTGATAGGATGGATGAGTTTAGACATATTATATGCCTGAGAGCATTTCAAGACCAATACTGTAGATGATGAACAAAGAGTAACTTCGAAAGAGAATAGATTGCAAACCTAATCAAGGTCTCAACCTACATCTACCAGTCTGAGTAAGGACGACAGATGAATATAAAACCATGATTTATGTACGATCTGTTCGCTCCACCAATTACAGCATTCTGTGCAACACTTAGTGTTCTCACTCGCATAGCAGACTGGGAAAGAGTGAGGGAAACGTGTATTTGTATCGGGCGACTGCAGAAGATAACAGTCACCCAGTTCCACAGTTTGAGATATTATCACTGAGGTGTTAACGCTACGACTCATCTCCTGTAGGATTGAGATCTATAAATTGACTCATCACTGAGTAGTAAGCATTACTATGTATACTGTGATGTTATTTGTCTTTTCTCTAAACATAACAATCCTCTTGGGAATTATCATTTTCGATCAATAAAATTAACTGACCTCGTAATTGTAATCGCGGATAGACAACCTGCACCGTCATAACGCATTCCATTGTGTTCTATGCCAGCGCAAGAAAGCTACATGTATTAATTAAAGCAAAACAATTTTCATTGTTTGAAAATCCACATCATACTAAAAGCACTGATAGATGAAAGAATATTCTTTTTAATAGATTCTCTTCAGGTTTTACAACTTCATTTATCCAAATTAAGGCAAAATACATCGTTTACAATTACGGTATGTGACTTTAGGGTTATTTGTAGAATAAAATAAAGTGTTTTCCACAAACCAAATGTTGAGACTGAAGCTAAACTCTGTTTGTACTTATCAATTCGACTGCTCTTGTGTAGCAAGTTACATTGGTCGAGGTTCTAGGAATTTGCATTTATGTACTCTTGAAAACCTTACAGTGTAGCTAAACAAAAGCACAGTCATCACGACATTGAACAACTTAATACTAAGCTTCCAGATTTACAACGGTGGTCTAACATCAATCGGTTCATGATCTCAATCAAAAAACTTAACACTAAACCGTCTAGTGCGAACTGGTTATAGCACCAGTATAAGTCAATTTTTTTTAATAAATCGTCGGGTTAGTAATTTTCTGCTAAAGTCGATCCGACTTAAAGACCTTCAAGCGCCAGAAACAGTAGCCATCCGGATTAAAAAAACTGGAGCTATGTGTACATGAAAATATATTCAACACCTTTTCTTACATTGGTCAATAAAATCAAAAGTAATTTTAACCAAAGAATAACCTAAGTTGACTAAAGTAATTAGAAACAGATGGTGGCTAGCAGTGGGATCCAGAAGGAGCGTGTCATCCTATTAGGGACTTTTCAGCTGGATGTACCTGCATTCCAAAGTTAATATTCACTACAGGACATGAATTATTATTATTATTATTATTACCACTACTATAATGATTATTTCTTGGTTTAGCATCACTAATAATCTTTCTAAGACATGACACAGCACTCACTCCACTTTAGTATGTCTAATTTAATTCAAATAACTTTACAGTCTCCCACCAAAAATTTAGTCGAATTAGTAACTGCAGTATTATTTCTATTCCAGATTCAGACCCATATTCATTCTGATCGTGAATCTCATAATTTCATTTAACGTATAGGCTGATTCTAGCTAACAGTGCATATTAGTCATTTCAACATTAGCAATCTTGTTTTATTTCACAATACTAAATCCACATGATATAATTTTAAACAGCGTATTTTGCCTTAAACCTGGCCACTTTACGGATTATGAACTTGGGAATAAAAGAACAATTTTTTGTGTAAAAAAGATTAACGACTTCCCTATCGTTTAGACGTTAAACGAAAATTATGAAGCTGATGGCTAATGAAAGCTCACAGATAAATGAGCTGACCAACGCACTCAACTACTTTACTTCAAATAATAAATTTAGGAGTTTAAGCAGAATGGTTGTGAAGCGACATTTTAAAATTTGATGAACAGACACTCATTCCAAAAATTCTTGTACTATCATTCGAAGCATTCAGGAGGTTACATATGGTACGATCCTTCGCGGTTTGTGTACTCTAATGAAAATGACGATATTACGTTACAATCGAACAAACAGGAAGTTTGTGTATTCAAATTATATTACTCATGAGTAATCATTAAGCATTATTGCACAATTGCCTTGAACATCGTAAAGCAACTGATTGCAGAAAAAATTAATTTCATATTGCTTGATGTTATAGTTATTTACGTGGTTCTATTCAAATAATTATTCCTCTTCCTATCTATACCAAATATCGCCTGATGTTGCCAACTTTATCAACCTGGTTGAAATCAATTATTAATTGTATGTATTGATTTCGGATGTATTATTTATGTGAATCTAATATACTGATTAATTTGGTCATTGTAACTCTCTTAAATTTGATGAAGACATTTTATGAGTAACGGGAACAGACAGTAAGTGTAAACGAGATATCTTCGGTTAATAACTGTTCCAAGATTGAAGCTGCTTAACAGATGAACAGCTCAGGCTTCTTCCATTGAAAATGTCCCATAGCACAAAATAGTTACAATCTCATTTAAAAAAAGAATGGAAATTATTGACATACAAACATTCTAAAAGAATTTTGCCTTTAATTGAAAAAGAAATTAAATCAATTTTTAAAAATTAGCTATCTTTTATCGATGAAAAAATGTCTTCTTAAAGGTTAAAACTATATAAGATACATATATGCCTTTGAAAAAACTTACTTCCACCATTAAATAATTAGTGAGTATATTCTCTTCCAAAGTACCAATTAAACGAGCTAATGTTGGTACAGTAGCTTGAGGTTCAAATAAACGCACTGATTTGCGAGTAACAACAGCAGCATCACTATAAACTGATTCACTGTCAATTGCATGTGACAGCTTTAGTTTATTTATTAATTCATTTAAACGTGTTGAGCGTTGACTAACTATGGTAGATTGGGCTTTTTGAATACAAGCACATAATTGTTCCAGCTAAATAGGAACGAAAAGGGGAAAAGAAGAGAATGCTGACAATAATTTTTATTTCCAAAGATGACATTAGGACAACGGTGGAAGCCATTAGCTTAGTGGTTAATATACTTGACACCACTGAACGAATGAATTGTTAGACTAAACGTTGTGCAATGGTAACTCAATGGTTAAGGTATTCAACTTCCAGTTAATGAGTTCAAGGTTCGAACTATGCGCTCTACCTATTTTGATTTAGGCGACCAGTTAGTATATCACTAGCCCTGATAGTTATAATATGGTTCGTAGATAATTAGACGGATTTATACATGGTAAATGAGTTGGAATATGAAATAGACTTCCAAACATCAGACCATCTACATCGGTTTCAGTAGTCAGGTAGAATCACTACCTGTTCCCACATGAGATACATACTTCATAATTAGTTAAATAAATGAACCTGTATTCGGTTTAGGAAATCAAATTAATAGAAGGTATACATCAACTGTTTTAGGATTAAAATAAATGTATACTTAAAACAACAACTTATTTATTTGAACACATAAATATTGGTACAAGGGGGCACCAAATATATATATATATATATTTTTGTGATAAAAGTCGAGCGATAGGTTGGTGGTTAAGGAATTTGACTTCCAGTCATTAGTTCACAAATCCGAGCCTAGATCCAGCTACTTCGATTAGAGCAACCGGATATTATCATTAGCTCTGCTAATTAGAGTGTGGCTTATATTCAACTACCTGGTGAATGAGTTAATTTATTTCTACGAACGCCCCTTCATCTACTTCAATGTGGAGATGGAGTAGAATAATTAAACCCCATAAAAACAACACTTGGTTAGCATATTAGGTAATTTCCTACTTCTGGCAGTATGAATGGCTTCCAAATAAACTGTGTGATTCAAAGTCAATGTAAATAAACTTGCACGTAATAAACCAGTTTGCAATGAACACAATTTACATGCCGTTATGTACGTACATATTCTGTAATCTTGGAATGTATTAAAGATTATCAATAATAAAATCAAGATATCCGTGTTAGTAAACGCTCAATTATTCAGTATTCAAAATTTCATTCAACAAATAATAGAACATTGATAAATGAGTCACAAAAATGATGAGGAGATCGGGAATTTATTTTTAAAAGTGAACCTTACCTACTTATGACCAGTAACAGTTTTAAAGTGAAATTCAAAAATACTTTTCGACTAATTCAATTTGTCTTTATGCCGAAAGATTTAAGGAACTTGGTAACATATGATAACTAAATCGACAACTCGTCAATATAGTATTTTACTCGTCAGGACCATAAACTTGCTACTTGTAATTTACTGAATAAATATATGCTAGTGTGACTGAACTGAAATCACACCTTTGCCAAGACGATGTTATTAAAAGATTATTGTTATTCTCCACTGATTTAAATCACTTTACATTGTTTCTTCTTGACAAAGAGGGAATCTTTGAGCTCGCATTAAGATACAGAATGTTGAAATCGACGATTTGCTAGGTGATAATTATCCTAACTTATATATGAAAGGTTCAAATATTTTTACGGTTATAATTAATGGAGATTTACGAACAGATCATATAAAAAACATATTTAATTAAGAACTGAGCTTCAAATTCTAAATACAAAACTTTAAAAAATGTACAAGCAAACCACTGGTCAGTGTTTATGACAAGGACAAGTGAGAATCAGTCGTCATTTTGATATTATTATTAAATATTGTTAAAGATAATCTAAATTTCACTTATCTATATTTCAACTATGTAAGCGATAATCTACTTAGATACCTTCGTAGAAAACTAAGAACCTATCACGAAGCTAATTAATGCAATTTTATGTGGACTCAGAATAGTGGTTCATATATTTTCTTCCTCGCCTTTCCAGACGCAAATATATTAAATTTATTCTACCTTGATGATTTTATCTCGTCGTACTAATGTAATTTAGCAAATTGAACCAATGCACATATGCGTCAGGCTCTAGGTTGTATATGACTGACATACCATTATAGATACTATAACTGTTATCTTGGTGTACAATAAAAATAACACTCAAAGTATGTGACTTTCACGAAATTATACATCCCAAAACACAAAAACTGACCGTTGTTGATGGATTATTAGACCAAACGGTATCAGCTATGAGCGGCGTGAAGTGAGTCACCTGAAGAAATAATCCAGTCTCATTTAAATGTCCAGAGGCGGGATTTATTTCCGAGTTGAAAACAAGTACACCTTGTAAATTTGTAGTGATATTCATATGTTCTGGAAGGGCATTACAAACAATTAAGTAATATTTGTAGTCCACATTCAATGGCCCAGAAATAACTTCACATGCTATATAGTATTCGTTATTTGGAAATAACTGAGCAAATAATATAGGCCAACGATATGACTGCTGTAAACGGACTAGCATTTGAGACCATAAACTTGATAAGTTGACTTGTGCAGGAGACAATATTAGAGGAAGATGACGTTTAAACGGTTGCCAAAATGGTCGGTGTATCTTTGCTGTCTGCATTAACCTGGCCAAACCTAAACACAATCGTAGGTGTTCCAAGCACTCACAAATCACAGAACGCCATCGAGCATCTCCGTGGGAAAGATTACGTAAACTCCGAGATTGAATTGAACAAATACGATCACTTTCATGAGGTTGGACAAGAGCTCCTGTAGCAGACACAAGACGAACACGATGACAAGATGATTGATTAAAAGCAGAATCGAGTGATGCAAGTGTATTAATAACACTGGAACGAGAAAAATTTTCAGAAGCCCCTTCAGGAGGACTAAAATTAACACTAGCAACAACTGATCCAATAGCACCAAACTCAGTATCGAGTGAAGTAAGTAATGGAAATGAAGTGCATACAAAACCTTGTACAGGATCTATGCGTACTTGTAATAATTCATGTGGACTACAAGGCCATAAAAGTGGAACATACAAGCATAATGGAGCATCGGCAAGACGTACAGGTCCAGGACTGATAATCAGTAGCTCTTGTCTCAAATCCTATAAAATAAAAAGGAACATGAACAGATAAGTTGAAGGCTATATCTTTATGTTATCAAGACAGAGTTATTATTCTTAAACGAAAAAAATTACTTATTATTCGAAAGATTGTGGGATTAATATTGCTCTAAAAACTCATCATATATACCATCCTCTTGATGAACTATAGCAGTACCGTACATTATGCATAACGTTTCCAATGATAAACAAACAACTTAGAAACAATTAGTGAATGATTAAAGCCTGTTAACGTTTTTTTCCAAAACCTCATAACAAACCATATTTTCTAATCATCATACATATCATGCTATATATATAATCAGAGGGGTTTTGTAGAGATTGTAGTAATTTAATAATTGAATTCATGAGTCAATTATATATATATATATATATATATGCAGTTTGATTATTTCCGCAATATGTCCTACCCACTTCCAGCATCTTTTCCTAATTTCCTCTTTAGATGGGAGTTAGTTTACTCTCTTCCAGAGTATATTGTTGCTGATGGTATCCGACAAACGGATATTAAGTATCTTGAGTAGCCAATTGTTTACAAATACTTGTACCTTCTTGACGATGGTTGTAGTAGTGCTCCAAGCTTCAGTTCCGTACAGTAAAGCCGTCTTGACGTTCGTATTGAAGATTCTGACTTAGATAGTGGTTGACAGTTGATTTGGGTTTCATATGTTCTTCAACCGTAGGAATGCGGATATATATATGCTCAGTTATTAGTACAAATTTATAAATTTTATTTACACGATAGAGTCTATCACATTTGTGTAACTCAACGATAAACAATAAGATATGACAGGAAAGAGAAAATGAATTTTCTACATTCATTATTTAAAGATTGATACTATTTCACTTTTATTAATGATAATCAAATTACTTAGAAAAATCAATAGAATATCAAATTATTTACCTGTAGCATTTGCTCAGCTCGAGCCACCATAGTTCTCGTTAGCAGAGTTTCGATAGATAAACAATCTCCCTTTTAATACAAATACAAAAAAATCATGAGAAATGTTATCGAGAAAATGACTCAACCAATTCTTTTTTAACAATATGTAGTTAAAAAGGATTTTACTTGCCTTCATAGCTTCAACGGTTCAGGAAGTAAAACACCGGTTCAAGACCCTCCTCTTATAACTAACTATTATACATAGACAACAACCACTCAACCGCGTACTAATTAATATCTACAGACTTATGTTTAATCATGAACTAAGAGATATTGACTGTATCATAATTTATTGCCTTCCATGTAGCTATTAGGTTATTTTAACGGATGAACTATCATAACACTATTTACTCATTAAAGAGTAATATCCACCTGATATTATTAGTTCATAAAGAAAGACACAAAACTTTGTTAACTGTATATCATAAATATTAAGTGAAATTCGAAGTTATTTTGATGCCATTTTAGAGACCATGTGTGCGTAACTCTTTGAGAATCCCGAAAATTGTTTAAAAAGGCATTACACACTACTTTTGTAGAGCAACACTTTGTATATAAGGTTAAACGATACCAATATGGTGTCCTAACCGGAGATAGGTTTAATATAGCTTAAACCCGAAGCCCAGTAACGAAAAAAGGTGTGTTTCAAACAGTAAGTTACTGCTTCACATTTAATGAGAGCCAATAAAAATTCACAGGTTTTACGCATAATATGCCATCAACCAAAGTATACATTTTACTCTGTTAAAACACGAGTGATTAGGACATGTTAGATCTTTGTTTCTTATCAGAAAAAGCCTGTATAAAACTGCCGAAAATAACACGTGAATTGCCGCAGTATAAAAAGATGGATATATCATGGCTGAGCCTTGTAAGTGTGACAAACAACAAACAGTAATGAATAAAAACTAAAGCAAATGGATAATTATCACCGTTAGATCGCTTTCAAACATTATAAAATGGATTGGGAAAGACAAAAACAAGATAAAGACGACGGAACGATTACTTTGCTCACTTTATAACAAGATAAATGAAGAAGGTGGACTACGTATATAGGATGAAAACGCTTTTTCTACGATTACTTTATAAAGATGTTTTGAGTATCATTTAGATGTATGAAAACCTTCCCGAATGGATAGCTTGTACATTATTTATTATACATTTAACATTTTATTCTACAAATCAGATAATTTATATATATATATATATATATATATATATATATATATATATATATATATATATATATATATATATATATATATATATATATATATATATATATATATATATATTGGTTCCTGCAGAATCCGTTATTTAGAAAGAACAATGATTCGTTTAATCCAATAATTTCAAGAGAACTCTTCCGTGTCAAAAGATAATTACTTTTCTATTCATTTCTTCGATACTTCAGAATATTTTGTCAGAAAGCTACTGCTGTCACTGTGGCATGTAATTAACCAGAAAACTTATTTATATCTGTTCCTTAAACATTGTGGAGCCGATTGCAACACAACATATGAAACTAAAATTTAAATTTGCTTCAGTTACCGATTTCTACTGCTGTTCCATACAGTATATATTCAACCCATCAAGTTTCAGATTAATTTAATTAATTACTAACTGTAATATTCTTCTATGGTCATAGCATAATATTTTCATGAATAGATACTCACTTGTACAGTAGCTCCAACTAATTGAGATTTCGAAGTAGTAAGCTCAGGACGATGACTAACACAGAGTGGTCTCTGAGGTTCCGTTGGATCAACATGAATGGTAAGTAAATAAGCTGAAAAGATTAAGGGGTGGGGTTATAAACTATTCTGCCAATTTATGTTACATTCAGAAGTAATAAAGTAGAGGACAAAATATTACTCAACAAGGGATAGTTGATTAAGAACGGCATCAAAATAGTGCCAGGAATCAGAATTTTGTTTATCTGGACACATAAACATTGGTACAAGGGGGCACCGAATACATATGCACCACATAATAATAATGGTTGTGAGGAGATAGAGAATGGAGGGAGGGTGTAATAAAAACAAGAGCAACAACGAACAGAAATTAGTGTGTGACAATGAAATAAATCAGTGAATTTAAGTCGCTTAGAGAGGACATGGTTTTCTCCACAGGTGAGCTGCTGTATAAGTCGAAAAATAAAAGGATACACAAAATGAGAATAAAGTATTAGACAAGTGACGTAATATATAAAATAAATATGAATGCTACCAAATGATTGTATAAGTGATTTATCAGAATGTGAATGAATTGAAGCAAGAATAGTTTTTCCATTCATAATCATCATTCGATTTGTGTGAGGGTTGGGATACTGTCTGGGCACCTAAATCGAGGTAGGTGGTTTTCTTAGACGGCCATGACACAAACCTATGATTTAGAGGCTTAATCCCCAAGGCAGTGAAGCAACGGTAGGAGATGCAGTCCCATGGAAGACAGTGACTGACAATAGGTCTGTTCCCTGATCCTGGAGCCCCTGTGAACCATTGATTTGGAATCAGGGTTTCCCAACTCGCCTAGATGGATCTTCCGTACCCACTGACCCGGTTAAAGAGCCGGAAATTCACTTTTTGTTCTCTCAATTTTGTAAAGAATGCCCCAGCCACGAGAAGGCAGTGAGTAGGACTTCCCTGGCAGTGGCTACCAGTAGCCAGTGCACGTCTACAATTTTTAATTGTTGCGTTTTATAGCCAGAAATTACCACAGATTCTCACTTCTCCTTACGCTTTATAATTTGTTATTGCGAAAATCCATCTCTTTCACTTACGTTTATGTTACCCTGTATAACGTATAATCTTCATTTTAATCTTTACATTAATTATATACACAGTAACTTGACTGATACTAACCATTAAGTATTTTCTAAGTTACATAATTAACAATTTTCAATAATATGTAGTCAGTTTTCTAATTAAAACGCGGTCAATATCTTGACGGAAATATCATTTTTAGGCTTAGAATTTAATACATATCTGATGGTACAACTTTGAAAATGAGCTCGTTGGAAAAGATTTCAGTCACCCAGTTACAGCATAAAGCCTAGTACACCGGTTCAAGTTGCCACACCCATCCCACTATCAAAGACAAATGAAGTTCTCCCAGCCTACTCCTACACCAGACAACATCGCTCGTCGGGGTAGGCGGTGTTTAGGCATACGTAAAGCACCTCCCAACCACCTAGGGTGATGGTGACTCACTACCTTCTCAAGAGAAATGACAGAAAACAAACCACCATCGAAATCATTGTTTTATAAGTTTACTAGTGTTTATTCCATAGATAAAAACTTTATCTTTATACACAAAACATAAACACATATATTCATACATACCTGTAGCATGTAATTTTCCATCTAGACCCATAACTGAATTATACTGAGTTCTAGCTAAACCATGCCAATAAGAGATCGACAAACATCTGCTAGGTCTATATGCTTCGATTGTAAGTTGATCTGGTGGTCGCTTTGAACGTGCCCGTTGAGCTTGTTCGTGCAACATATCCAATTGAAGTGATAAACTAAAGGCATCTACACATTATGCACGTCATGTTAAGAAATGATTGCGGTTAAAAACCTAGCAAGTGATAACACTAAAATAATGAGTACGTTTTCATTTATTTAAAATTTGTAAACCAATTAGATATATCAACAACTATTATTAGAAGTATTGTTACATATTGTTTAGTGAGAGTATAGGGAAGATGAATGAATAAACATAACGTTACAAAAAAGGAATCCGAAATCTCAGTACACTTTATTGACAAACATTTGGTTATTATTACAATATTAGTTACTTAATAGACCCTGCATTGATGAACAGTATTTAATTGGTGATACTGGTCACAACGTATGAGCAGTTATACCTGTTTTATTAAATGAGCATATGAAACCATATAATATACATAACTATACATCACGTAAAACAAGAAATCCAAACTGACTAGTGTTATATAAGAGGTAGCTTGTGGTGTAGGTGTTATATCAATCCAAGAAAATCAGAGGTAAAATTATACATCATAGAAAGTAATGTAGTTAGTTGAATGGATCGAATACATAAAAACCAAATGAACTATTATCAATGGTGGAGCGGAAAGAATGTTAACAATAAGTTTACTATTTTCAAGTTAAACTGTCTAAATCAACTCATTTTAATCTTACTTGAGTTTAACTGCTAACCTTAACCTACGGTAAAAAAGTGACATGTCAAACTTCTACATATACAACTCCAGAAGTTTTATTAATGCAGGTTCACAATTAGTTTTAGAAATTCAAGATGGGGTTGATCTACGACTTATTCTTTACACGACTTTTCTCATTGATGACAATAATAATAATATAATTTTAAATGCGTTTATAGTAAGAAATAATTTATTGTAACAGGATAGTAAAAAGTAAACATGAAAGTCTCTGGTAGACCAATCTTACTATGGACTATAACAAGTCAAACTCATCGAAGTCATCCACACAGTTCTTATGAATGAGCCTGTTAATCGAATCTTATTTGTAAAATAATGGTCTCACTATATTATTACTTAGTATAATCCTCTTCAGCGCAACTTCACGCATAAAATTTCTAAATCGTCATACCATGAGAACATCTAAAACCCAAGCTACTAATAACAGTCATTAAAATAGAAACAACCGGTGAATATTCAGATACAACAAAATACTATAACAATAACTATTCTTAGCAGTGGATGATTATGGAAAAAGATCTGTGACTAAAACTGAGAGGAAATCATACTACAGTACATTAATATAGACGATCGATTCGATATTCACTCACAAAAAGGATACGCAACATGTCGTAAAGGTGGACAAGAGGTGGACGACTATCAAACTGTCGATAGAGCAGACGAGATTGGGCTTGGTTAATTATGAGTCTTGTTTGCGCCGGATGAACAAGATTTTGATAGTCTGGAAATAATATGCAAAAATAAGAAACAAACATTTATCAGTGAAACTTTACAACAATTGCTTTCAATGATGAATTACCAAGCAGTAATCTTTTGTAAGTTTGGACTATTTTTCTCACCCTGAATTTGATCATTCTAATATTACATATAACGGTACCGAAAGCTCGAACATATCAATAAGTTTTTGGGTAGTTTGAATTTCTTCAATAAGATAAACTAGAAAACCATATCCCCTTTACTGATAATCATAGTTTGGACATCATTAAAGAACGGTGAATGATTAACTAAAAACGGATGCAACAGATTTATGTATAGAAGCAAATACACACATTGCAGAATTAAAACGGTGTCGACGTTTGAAATTAATGCTGGTAGGATACTAACTTGAGGAGTTGTAAGTTTTCCCCTCTATAACAAAGCACACATGTTTGAAATTCTGAGGCTACAAGTAACAAATGGCTGCATACTGTGGCGGGGGTGTTGTCTACGAAAATGAGAGGACGAAAAGCGAATGTCCGGCGCTTTAACCGGATTCCAAATCAATGGTGCACATGGGCTCCAGTATCCTGCGGGAACGAATGGCGTATGAACCAATCGTTGGTCACCGGCTACCATGGGACTGCATCTCCTTACGATGCTCCACTGCCTTGTGGGTTAGACCTTTAGGTCAAAGGCTCGGGGAGTGGCCCCCTAAGATAACCACCTGCTTCGGTTTGGGCACCCGGGCAGTATCACAGCCAACACACAAATTGATGAACTCTTTATGCCTATGGAAATTACCTTTCTCGCTTTGAAAAACAAACAATTGATTCAGATTATTATCATTACAATTATTGTCATTATTAATACTAATATTATTATTACTACTATTATTGTCATTATTGTTATTATTATCATTATTATTATTATTTTCCACATTATTCACCCTCTTTTATACCTATACAGCGGCTCGTCTTTGGTGGAAATCCGACTGTATCTAAACGTTCTCGAGTCACTGTCCGGTTGAAAATTGTATGTTACCACCGAATACGAGGACTGAAGCAGATTTTCTGGAACCACGTGCACCATTCAAACTGGCTGTCTTCAACGTTCGCACATTTATGAAGGTCGGACAACAGATAGGGCTGGCTATGTCTTTGGAAAGTCTTAATATCGACGTGTGTTGTCTATCCGAGACCCGTATTCAAGACTCTGGCGAAGTACTACAAATTCGATCTCCATCTGTCGCTTCGAAAAGCTTGTTTTACGTGCGCTTATCCGGGGACCCTGTGGCATCTTCGTCTGGTCTTGCTGGCGTTGGTGTCGCACTAAGCGCTAGAGCTGAGGCAGCACTAGTCGATTGGATCCCCATTAACAGTCGGTTATGTGCTGTTAGATTAGAAAGTTCCATCAAAGTGAGAAGAAATCGGCGTGAGAAACGATGTCTTTTCGTCATCTCCGCCTATGTCCCGACAGATTGCAGCCCGGATGCAATCAAGGACGAGTTTTACCACCAGTTATCAGTTCTTCTCCAGAAAGTGCGTTCGGCAGATATTGTAGTACTAGCCGGAGACTTGAATGCTCAGGTCGGGCGTCTAGGCACAGAAGAGAGTCGTTTAGGTGGCCGATGGGGACTCGTTGGTCGCAGGTCAGATAACGGGGACCGTCTACTGCAACTGTGCACAGACCACAACCTGTTTCTGGCTAGCACTAACTTTCGGCACAGTCATCGCCGATGTGCCACCTGGCGTCCTCCCTCTGCATCTCAAGCCTGGACTCAGATTGATCACATCGCGATCAGCTACCGCTGGCGTGGTTGTGTACAAGACTGCCGCTCCTTTTGGAGTACCTATCTGGACTCTGACCATGCCTTGGTCTGCGCCAATCTTGCCTTACTTTTCAGTGGACAACGAAGTGAACGCCATCAACGGATTGATGTTAGCAAGCTGGTTGCAACTTCTGTTGCAAGTAAGTATCGAACCGAGCTAGCCTCTAGGCTAGCTACCACTCCACCGAAAAGTATAGATGAGCATTGGTTGCAATTGCGTGACGCCATGAAAATGGCGGGAACAGTCAGTTGTGGGTTTGCGAAACGTCCCGCTTTTAAGCACTGGGTTTCTTCTGGTTCCTTACAACTCATTGAAGCCCGTCGGTCTACTCCGGGTGACCGTGAGTTTGACCATAAACGAAGGATGTTACGTAAGGAAATTGGGCAAAGCTTGCGTAAGGACCGAGAAGCCTGGTGGTCGATGCGTGCTAATGAGCTGGAAGCAGCAGCTGCATCTGGTAACTACCGGAAGCTCTTCCAGCTCATCCGAGCCACTGGCAGCAAGAAGTCTGGTGTGAGTGAAACAATCTGCGAGGATGATGGGATGCCAATCACTAACATCCATCGACGTCTTGGACGATAGGCTGAATTTTTCGAAGGGCAGTTCAACTGGCCTGCTGCTCCGGCAACATCGGTCAGACTGTCCTGCCCTCCATGGCCGGTGACGACTGATCCACCAAATGAGGAGGAAGTCCGCAAGGAACTCCAACTCTTGAAGCGCTACAAATCACCTGGCCCAGATGACTTACCTCCGGCTCTTTTTAAAGATGGTGGTGACTTTTTGACTAAGGAATTGACGACGTTGTTTACAAAGGTTTGGGAACTAGAGAGTGTACCAACGTCATGGAATGAGTCGATAGTTGTCCCTATCTTTAAAAAGGGTTCACGTCGTTCTTGTAACAACTATCGGGGGATAAGTTTACTTCCGATTGCGTCCAAGCTATTGGCTTCTGTCATACTTCGTAGGTTGTTCAAAACCCGAGAAAGATTGACTCGCGAGGAGCAGGCTGGGTTTCGTTCTGGTCGAGGATGTATTGATCATATCTTCACCCTCCGCCAAATGTTAGAACACCGCCATACTTTTCAAAGGCCAACAATCGTAGTGTTTCTTGACATCAGGGCTGCCTTCGATTCGTTGGATAGGACTGTTCTCTGGGATTGTCTATTGGAGAAGGGTGTGCCTGAGAAGTTTATTAACATCCTAAAAGCCCTGTATAAAAACACCTCAGGCAGAGTGAGGGCATACAACCGCCTCTCTCCATTGTTCCATTCGAGCAGTGGGGTTAGGCAGGGTTGCCCAATCTCACCATTCCTCTTCAACTTTGCCATCGATGACATTCTGGAAACAGCTCTGATGAATGTAAGTAATGGTGGTGTGGATCTGTTGCCTGGAGAAAGACTTCTCGACCTTGAGTATGCGGACGATATTGTCTTACTGTGCGATAATGCCCAAGGCATGCAATCCGCACTTAATCAGTTGGCAATCAGTGTCCGTAGGTATGGTATGTGCTTTGCACCTTCGAAGTGCAAAGTACTTCTACAAGACTGGCAGGATTCTAATCCTGTACTCACCCTGGACGGTGAGCAGATAGACGTAGTTGAGAAGTTCGTGTATCTGGGTAGCTGCATAAGTGCTGGTGGGGGTGTGAGTGATGAGATCAATGCACGAATAGTGAAAGCCAGAGCGGCTTATGCCAATCTGGGCCACCTTTGGCGCCTTCGTGATGTTAGTCTGGCTGTAAAAGGCCGGATCTACAACGCGTCGGTAAGAGCAGTTTTGCTCTATGCTTGTGAAACCTGGCCTCTCCGAGTTGAGGACGTTAGACGACTCTCTGTGTTCGATCATCGCTGTCTCCGAAGGATTGCTGACATTCAGTGGCAACACCATGTCAGTAATGCAGAGGTTCGGCATCGTGTGTTCGGGCACAGAGATGATAACTCAATTGGTGTCACCATCTTGAAACACCGACTTCGGTGGCTTGGACATGTTCTCCGAATGTCGTCCCAGAGAATTCCACGTCGTGCATTATTTGCCGACTCTGGGACTGGTTGGAAGAAGCGGAGAGGTGGTCAGTGCATGACATGGTGTCGTGGCATGAAAGAAAGATGCGAAGGACTGGCTTGTGTTGGTCCTTCACGACTCCCTGGTTGGGGTCCGAGAGATGGTGCTACACAGTGGCTAGAGACGTTATCAGATATGGCTCAGAATAGAAGCCAGTGGCGATCCTGCTGTAACCTTCTTTTACTTTCTTCATAAAAAGTGGTTGTGTCTCCTTTACCTGAAAGATTTCTTCTGATTGTACCTTTTCGTTCCGTCGTTACTACCACACTACCTTACTCCAATCTCTTCGTCATTGTTCTCTTTTTCTTTTGCGTTCCTTCGTTGTTTTTTTTCTCTTTCTACTTCTCTTCGAATTCCCATTGTTTTGTGTGGCGCATATATATTGGCGCTCTCTTGTACCAATATTTATGTGTTCAAATAAATAAATAAATAAAGCAGCATAAACGCTGGGAGATAACCTTTATGTTCGAACTTTTGAGAGGACTCATCTCCACCGCATATAAAAACTGAGGAACATACTGGGAAAAACATCAAAAAGGGTACTTAAGTACACGTATCAGATGTCCTTAAGGTACTATTAAATATAGCTGTAAAAATTTCAATCTGAATTAAAATGGTTAGTAAGCAAATACTTAGGAAATATACAGGACACGATGTGAATTCAATAAAAAAACAACTAATGACTAGAACTTAAAGTACTTTTTAAACATCGTACACAGTAGACTTACTCATTGATGAGTCTTTAAGTAAAAATTTTAGATCTAGAATTCTCCAAGGGAAGTCAAGCGCTTCGGACATGAGGGTGACAGTAACCTAGATGAAGTTATCAACAAGAACTCGACAACCTACAGCAAATTCATTCTGGACAACAAATTGTGCACGTCCATCAGCTAAAACTATAAAATACTAGATAAAATCATACCTATTTTTATAGTCCGGAATTGATGAGGTAGCTGGGTAAGGCTAAGGCGATTTTGGATGATGCAGTTAAGATCGATGAGGGCTTGCTTTCTTTCTTTTTCAGTGGCAGATTCAGCAACAAAAGCAGAGTTCTTAAACGTTAAAAGTCAATGACGAGTTACTTTAATGGACTTTGGGAGACGAGTATATCCTTTATTTGTGAATATATCAATTGCAAGAAGTACAGAAAACGGTGGCAACCTGAAATCCATTTAACAGAAGTATGAGTCTACCTGGCACTGACTAAAGTCTCTCTAAGAAGCCTAGATAAGGCGTTTGCTGTGCTTATCAAAAAGAAACTTTGCTCTTCTAAAAAGTTTGAAATTTTCTTAAAAGATCCATACAATTCTGAAGATATTACCTCACATTTGTCGACCTTTGATGCACTATTTGACCACTTAACTAAGGCCTCGAGCCTTATGAAAAGATGTTGAGTACGACTAAAGAATGTAGCGATTTCTATCTTCTTTTCAAGATCTGTTTTGCTTGGCAACCTACTCTGTAACCCTACTTATTAAGAATAACTCACAGATCAATAAGACGCATAAGATCAGTGTAAACTTTCTGTGAGATGAATTCAATTAGGATCGACAGGGGGATTGTCCCAGCACCAACTCTAGCTACAGCATGTTCCATTTCCGAACGTTCTGACATAGTTACGCAAGCTGTAATTAAGGCGCGTGCAATATTTCAATTTGTCTCAAAAAACGCATCAAATAGTTGTGTACAAGACAGAAGCTTCTGTTTCTAGCAGCACGTTATTATTAGTTTCAGTAAATCAATATATAATGCTATTTTGAGTATTCGACTAAAACATCAACAACATTTAGTAAGCGGGGAAAATGCCCCACTAGCTGGCCTTTTATTGAGAAATTCTGACTTGGTGGGCTTCTCTCTACACTTGGCATCGATTACCAAAAGACTGAAAGAACGCCATGGTAAATCCTGTCTTCAAAACAGGTACGAAATATAAACCTAAGAACTACCGACCTGTTAACCTAACCATCGTGGTTCTCAAAATTTTAGAAAACATTATTTAGAAGGAGCTTTTTAAGTGTCTCGATGAGAACCGGATTCTTTCGGAGAGGCAGCATGGCTTTAGAATAGGTTTTTCCTGTCTCGCTTACTTATTAGTCGCTCGTGAAAGCTGGTGCGCTCTTAAAGATCAAAAGTGACCTATAGACGTAGCCTACATCGACTTCAGAAAAGCTTTTGATAAAGTTCTTTACGACCGGCTGTTATGTAAGTTAAGGAATTTCGAAAATGCAGGCATTCTATCAACGTGGATGAACGACTTCCTGATTGAGCATTAGCAAAGATACTGGTGAACCAGTGTTATTCCTCTTATATGTAAATGACCTTCCTCGTTTCCTACTATCATGGGTCTTGCTATGTGCTGACAATATAGAGAGCGATAAAAAGTAGAGGTGATATCTTAGAGTTTCAAAATGACCTGGAGAAATTACCTGTATGGTCTCGAACTAGGAGTCACCGACAAATGCTTCTAAGTTCATTGTGATACATATGATCATCGAGGTACAGATACATACATGATGAATAACACTGAACTACCTGTTGCCCAGACATACAATGACTTGGGAGTCATAGTCAGCCAAGACTTAAAAACTACTGCACACTGTCGTGCAATAGCCGCCAAAGGGCCTAGAACACTCTGGTCAATACGTAGGGCCTCTAAGCATTCTGACGCTCAAACGTTCTTGACCTTGTACACAGAACTCGCACGTCCTAAACTTGAGTACTACATACAGGCGGCTAGATCCAGCTTAGAAAAGATAGTGATTTTTGGGAAAGGTTCAGAGAACAGCAACTATGGTTATTCCCGAGATAACGAGAATCCCACAGGATGCTCGAATGGATAAGTATATTCCCGTTGTCATTTTGAGTAACCAGGGGTGAATTAGTTACACTTTCTATATTACTTATTAATAAATTTGCATATGATATGCCATCATTTTTCTTGTCTTCCAAAACAGAGAATTTACGAGGACACCAGAAAAGTTCACAAACCCAGACCGAATTACTTGTCAGTTTACTACCAACTTTCCTACCGAAGCATCAACAAGCGAAATTCATTACTTCAACAGGTGTTTGAAGCTCCATCTGTCGACTCTTTCAAAAGAAAGTTGGATCAACTGAGAGACCATCATTGCCAAGACTAATACAAGCCACACAGCCTTCTGTCCTTCCCAAACTGAAAATGAAAACCGAACTGAAGAAAATGTTAAGGGCGATATCCAGAGTAAGTTTCTAAACCGATAGGAGGGTGCACTATCGATATAATGTTATCATCATGTAGAATGTGTGTCGCACGGAATTAAAGCTCAAAGAGTTTCGTGCTCTTCGTTTACTCTAATCAGTAATGATGAATGATGAAATATACTTCTTAACGTAACTCCGTATATATTCTACGAATAAATCGAGTCAGTGATTATCATAACAAAGCAAGTCAAGCACAATCAATCAATCAACAGCACTTTACGATCATTCCTATGCACACGTCCTTTAACCATATACCCAATAATATACAGGAGCGAAGTTTTTTCCATTTAGTTTACGGCTGTAAACACTATAGACTGTTTAGTTCAACACTGAGATTTTTAAGGCGTAAGTTCAGTTTACGAGCAAACGGCATTTGGGTCAGAGAGACAAGGACTATATGATCACCTAATCAGCTAAAAATCAGGAGAGGAAAGACAAATTAACAAGAACACTACTCGATTCATTCCCAATTCAGAACAATGTAAAAATGCACATGACTAACATTACCAGAACGCACAAAGAATTAGAAAAATACAGTTTTGTCCAAACTAGGCATCACGGTAGAAGAACGGCACACAACATGTTGTGTCTAAATTACAACGATTTTGAAATGGACAGTGAATGATGACAGTGAATCATAAATAAAACGAAAGCTTATGATTTAAAAATTAAACTTGGGAAAAACCAAATGTTGGTATTTAAATTAATTGGAACAATGTTCTACAAATATCTTCCGTTGTTTATCATGGCTACTGAGTTTTTCTGTTCACGTCAGCGATTCAAGAAACGCTCCACATGCATATCCTTAAATGAAAGAAAATAATAAGTGAGAAGGAAAATCCCCACATATTTAGAAACTCATACTTTCGTATCCAGTGAATGGTTTCTAGAGTACAGAAGAGCAAAGTAAATCAGAAAAGAATAGTCACAGGCTTATAAACTGAGATATTCAGTACTCACGGATTTCCGAAAGCCATCTGACAAACATGTAGTGTAGTGGATAAAGACTGTAAAGATGCCACAGGTATTCGGAGTTTGATAACGCTTTAATCAGTAGAACCTTCTAATATGAAGCGTACCCTCTAAGTGAAATCAAAAGACAGAAGCGAGGAGGTTCGCAGATATATTTGATAGGCTATCAATATATCGCGGATCGTCTGATCTAATCTGGCTAGCGATTGCAAGGGTTGTAGAGCGCGGCGTTCCTACTCGTGATCTGGTGCCGATGCATGACCGAGCGCCTTCAGCTAGGTGAGTCTGTAGTGGCATTGGACAATAGCCACACAATCCACAAAGCTGTGAACACGAGACTACTCAGAAAATAGATATTCAATATTTAACGCGGAGAAATACCTAACAATGGAGAAGGCGCGAACAAGGAATTGAATGGACTGGAGTTGATCGAGTGGCATGGCTCGTCCATGCAGACGTGGTCCATCTCAGTGTTACTTTATATCTTCTATTCATATTAAATATATTGTTCTTTCTCTAGCCTAACCTTGTTCCTCATCATGTATTGGTAATTGATACGATACAGTGAGTTGGTGTAGTCGATGGTGTGACTTCCACGTAAGATCTTATAGATTAGGCAGTTATATCATGACAAATCGACAAGTTTAGGATTAGGTTTATTATTAGAGCAGTACTAATATCATAGTAGACCATAATTCTACATTGGTGAGCCCAACTAAAGAAATGCAACCCATTACTGTTAATCCTTATTTCCACCTTAACCTCAATCGGTTTTTATTTTTGTGAACCCAGTATTCGTATAGTCCTTTGATTAATGGTCACATATATTATCGTAATGTTATATCTATTAGTTCACATAACTTAATAGGTCAATCGATAATAAAAGTTCGTCATCTATATCAACTAATTAGCTTTGATGGTTCGTTAACAAGCTTTAATAGCATTTACATGCTTCAGCAACATAGACTTGTTTAAACATGAAGCTCTAGCAAATATGACCTGTAAATAGCGTAAATATACATTGACTAGCAATGCAATCAAGGACTAAATAGTTATCTGGATCTAATTCTCAGTGTCCCTTCACTTAACACCTCATCCTGTTTTAAACTATGCACTATCCTGTTATATCTTTTCTCCCGACCACTGCCTGCCTAATTTCATATTCTCGAGTTCCATTGCCAAACAACAAGGATGACACTTCTCCAAAAACATACGGTGAGTTCCAGCTATAAGTTTTCTGCAATCATAAGGTCATTTTTAGATGGTTCGTTCAATGACAACCACACAGTTATCTGGGTTCATTCGATTGTTCTGATCTGAGCGAGTGGCAAAAACCTCAACAGCATCAAGGACTCTGGAATTAATTGCCATACTGCATGATTTATTCTGGATGCTTTTGGATCAATACTACTCACGAATTGCGTTATATAAGTCGTCCACTGAATAATCTAATTTTCAAAAATAATCAAGGCGAGTTCAACTATTTTACTGGATGATTTTTTTGTACTTAACATGTATATGTTTTTCAGTTGCTTTTGCCATATATTTGTAAGTGTCCCTAGGCTAAATGCAGTAACTTCTTATGGAATGTTTATAACGCGTCATATTCCTGCCTGAAGTTTCTTAACTTTATTTATCTGGTCATGTTCATTATTTTTAAATTGTCATATACGTCAGCAACCTGCTTGTTAACCTGGCCCGCACATACACTATACCTTCATATCTTTTGAATTTAGAAATCATCTGAATCGCCTTTAACATTTATCAATAAACCCATCATAGTCGTTGTTGCTAATCGTATTTGGGTTTATGGATTGGTTTATCATATTAGCAGCCTAAAATGCGAACATAGTTTAGATAATAAGATTAAAAATTTAAGTACTATCAACTGCACTAGTAAAATAACTAAATCCCCAGGTAGCTGTTGGTTAAACAAACGTTTAAAATCAAAACTCCGTAGCCTACTAGAATTAACACCAAACGAATATTTCTGAATTGAAATTTATGATTAAATTAGGCGTCTCGGATTCTTTAACGTTATAAATTTCTGATGATTTTGAATCACCTAAAGCAACAATACCTATTTTTCCACTGACTAATCCTTAATCAACACTATAACTAGTTAAATTTAATAGTTTCAGGATATCGTCATAAAGCATTGTCATAACTTGACAATCACGTAATATGACTGATAAAATTAATGAAACTAGTAACGAAATCGGTCAACAAATTGACTTAAAATTACCATTAAATGGTGTTGTTTTCTTGGTATCTTCATCCATCACAGATGATTACAGTATGTTTCTCTATCAGTTGCTCATTCAGTAAATATCTCAAAACCTTGTCAGTCTAATTGATGGTTTAGCGACACAATCATGCATGCAAATAATCAGTATAAGCAGTCGAGCAAATCTCCTGCAAACTGAAAACATCAA